TATAAACTGGTGGTATAGTGTGGTATAAAGTGGTATAAAGTTCGTATTGTTYATAAACATATCCATGTCCCAAGTGGCAGAAGCAGTAGGCTTAACTGTAACTTTACTTGCAATTGATTGTGCACCTCATTTTCTTTATGCATAACCATATATTCCATAATTATGCTCTATTTCTAATCCTTTGAATAACAGGCTTTCTTGATAATGCATTGTAAGGCATGAAGAAGTGTTGAGTTCTGAGTATCTAGAATCCAGTATCTTGTAAGTTAACCACTTTTTTAAAGCAGTCGTATTTTTCTATCAGTGGCTTAAATTCCTGTCTTCTCTGCAGATCACACAGTTTTTCCAAATTTATATGGCTATTTCAAAGTGCAGATTACACTTCAGTTGCGCCATTATGAAGCAAATTCTTCAGTGCAGTTCTAGAATCTAAATATGCCAGACTTTGCAGTTGGAATGGAGCTGTTCTAGCTGACATTTTTAGTTCCACATTATTCATGTAGGGTGTCGAGTACAGGACTTGAAAAGGTATTGAAAAAGGCTCTTTCAAAATCAGTAGCACTGAAACTGGAGGAGCATCAGCCTCTAAAACCTGATCAGCCCTGTGACAAAAAAAAAAAAAAAAAAAAAAAAAAAAGTTGGTTTTGTTTTTAATGCTTTTTGGTTTAAAACTTAACAGAAATGTTATCTTCAGGGTGCCAGAAGTGAAGCTATTTAAAAAAAAAAAGGAATTGTGTCCAGATAAATATGACAAATCTGTAAAAGTTTTCTGTCTCTTAAACACTCCAATGCACTTCAAATAGGAGCAAGATGATTTGGAAATGTCTTCCTGGATGTGTTTCTTGTTTTCTGTTTTGAGAGGGATACTAATACATCCCAGTTACAAATAGCTATTCTTGTAGTTGTTTTTTTGCTGTTTCACATTTTACAGATGTGAATTTGAGGGATCGAGAGTTTATGGTTCTGAGAAATTTAAAGCAGGTTTGAACTGTTTTCTTCCCTAAATCATTGCAGTTTATCCKTCTGCAAGCTCTGCCAAAATGTGGCACATGGATATCCTATCTGTGTTAAATAGGGAATATGGGAATGATTGCTGTACTTAGTTAATGTTCATAACACTTTAAAATCCTTTCAAAGTGTCATATGAGTTACCAATCCTAAAATGTATGCTTGTAGGTTAAATTAAAATCCTTAAAAGATCTGAGGGGACTGCATAAATGATAATTATAATATTTGTGAATAAGTTAACATGTTAGCTTAATAATAACTGACATAATAACTCGACATGTTAAGCTCTATTTAAGAAAAAAACTCTACTTTTCCTAGGAGATTTAAAAAAAAAAATAGAGCATATAAAATATGATTCTAGAGAGTTTGCCATGCAGCTGTCTGTGCAGCCAGGAAAGGATATCTGGAGATTATAGGGCATAACATACTTCCTTTTTGGAGTATTTAAAATGGTATGGGTAAAATGTCATCTAGGAGCTGTGGCAGCAACTTAATTGTGCTAAGTTCTGTACCCCTGCTTCTGAGTTCATTGCAAGATCTAAATAAGCAAGTTCTTGCAATCTGAAAAAGATGGCCTGGTTTGGCAGTTATGGTCATGTATTCATCTCTGAATCACAAACAAGGCCACAGTAAAAGTCAGCTAATCTCTTTGGTAACATTGCTAAGTGACTGAAACAGAATCTGTGTTCCTGAAGTTAGGGAGCATTGTGCCTTCTGTCATCATGCCTAGAGTAACTCCCGCAATCCAGCTTGAGCTGCTGACTAGATTACATTGCCTCATGGTGCAGTGAAACCTGCCAACTGCTACTCCTTGCTTTGTTGCCTAACCTTCGGGTTGCTCGCAAGGTAATTACTTAATTTTGGTAAGTAATTCTTTTATATGGTGCTCCTGTTCAGAGGTCTACAGCAGTCTCATGTTCTTACGCATTCAACAGTGGTTCTGGATGTCTAAACCTAGCAGATAGTYACGCTTAGCTGTCAGGAGGTGGACTAATAGAGACTGGTCATGCGACTATCTCACTGATAAAGATATAAATGTTAGGGCAAGTTTTGAATCAGTTGGTGAATCTAGTGCTTGTCAGCTTAGAACATAACTGTATACACAAATTAAATGTGTTCTACGTTAAAATATTTCATAAGTGGTACACAGGCAAGTGATAATGCTCCTATAGGAAGGCACTATGTAAAAGATGAATTTGAGTGAAGAAATCGAAAAGCTTAGAGCTGGATACTGACTGAAACTTTCTTTCATACGGCTTGGAACCACTCTTTGTAACTGCTATTGGATGGTGCAAAGGTGAATGTTTAATGTGTGACCTGCCAGATATGTTTTTAGAGGGTGAGGTGAGCTCTTCAAAGAGAGGATTKGTCATATTTGTCTTCAGTACCTGATCTAAAATTTAATTTTGAAAGTATATCTTTAGCACCCAATATCACATCTAAACTTAGTTAAATGTGAATGTATTGACTGACCTAATTTAAAAAAGCACTGCCTGTAGTGCTTGATCTATTTTCTGCAAATCAGATTACTGAGGAATGTGCAATTTTAATCAGTTTAAAACATTCTGTGTTTTTTTTCCTTTGTAACTCTGAAAAAAATTGTCAAACTGTTTGCATTTTAATATGAAGAATGCATAGAGCTCAGCTGTAATGAGCAGTCTTTGTTGATTTTTGCAAATTTAACATCAAAAAGCATTACTGGGAAACATGATAACCTCCTCTTGTTCTTAAAGCTATCAAGTGTTCTAGAAAGAACAATTATAATAATGAAAATTTGCCCAAGTGCTTCTGTGCTAATTCTGTCTTTACCATAACTCTTTCCCTTAGAGACTAAGACTTTCGCTGTGGTTTCTGCCAACGATAGGAGCTTTGAAAAGTAAGACAAACTCAGGAAATATTTTAAATTATCCTCAAGCTGCCTTCTGCTCCTCCTGTATCTGTTACAGCTTAGCTGCTTTTCTAGAAACTTGTTTGCTGCCCGTGCGGCATCCTGGTGTTTACCTGATCAATATCTACTTCTTGATGTGCTCCAGGACGTTTGGGCAGATTCACAGTCTTGCAGAGTGTTGTAGATGGTTCTTCCACATGCAATTTTAGTGAAGATCTTGTGATAAACTGAGTTTTCCCATAGAAGAAGATGGGTTAAATCAAGGCCTAGTGTCTGATTTAGCCTCTGACTTGATAATCTGCCTTGGTTTAGGACTCCGGACTAGCTGAAAGCGCTTGCCTGGTCATGAATAATGATAACGGGAAGGGCTTGGTGTGTTGTTGGATTGTAAATGAGCATYGAGGCTTCCTTGAACAGTGAATAGATGCTCAAGTTGGTAGCTTCAAAGAAAAAAAAAGTTTATCTAAAGTTGTGGTATCCACTTGTAGGTTTTGGRATAGAGAAAGGAAGGACTATAGTTGTCATAAGGTAAAGTGAGAAAAAATGAAAAAGGGGAAAAGAAATGAAGAGGAGGAAAATAGGGATACACCCTCTTCTGTTTACTTCCTTGTTCCTCTAAAAGGGACCAGGTAAAAGATACCTTCTGTTTAACAGAAAAGATTTGGCCATGTCCAAGGTCTGGGTTCTGGATACCTGCCTCACTTGGTGGACTGAGTTCAGCTTGCTCCCATCTCCCATTCCRTGTTTCATATTTTTGGAAGGGACGAGAAGTGACTTTTGGGATAACCCGTGCTATTGAAACACCTAAATACTGACTAGTCTGGCAGAAAGTCCYGAGAATTGCTTATTGAAGATTTTCTTTCTTCAACTTTACGATAATGGCTTATAATGGGTATAAATAGCACTTTGAGATAGRAGACAAAGTAAGGTGGGAATGTTGTCGTTGTTTCTATATAAATGAAACTTTCCTCTTGCATCTTTGACAATAGTTGACCAAGTAAGTGTTTTATTCTTTGGATTGCTTGTCCTTGCAGGCTATTTTTTTTTAATAGGCATGAATGCCAGCATGTGAATTGTGGGGGGGTTCTTGAAAGTATTGAGAGGCCTTGCATTGGATCAGGTAGTTTGTTGATCACCAGAGAGTTTTAAGAGCTGGATGGACAGTTTTCTTGCTCTCTGGTCTTATCTGAGATACTCTTGCATTTGATTTTATCTGAACTGTTCTGGAATCTGCATGGAGATAAACAAAACCCAGTCATACCAAAGGGTGTAATTTTTTGTGTGTGTGTGAGTGCTSGTAAGATTAAATTGACTATATAATAATATTCTGCTGAAGTGAATGCACTCTTGTGTGCCTGCCTGATGATGAGTAGCGACTCTGGCAAGTTCCAGCTAAGAATGTTTAGTGCAGTGTAACTGATAATTGCTGGGTTCTTTTTTCTCAAGGTCTGCTATTCCGGGAGGAGGAGGAGGAGAGGGGATGACCTGCTCTGCTTTAACAGGCTTGCAATTTACTGCTACAAGTAGCAAGAAGAATAGTGTAACTTTTGATATAAGGAATTTCCCTCCTCCTCCTTGCCTGTACATGTTGTCTTCCTCAGTTTGATAAATTCAACTTCAACTTGATGTATTTAATATCTCTAACTGCAGAGTCCATAATGGTTCTAACTGGGGAAAAATCCAGAAATACTGCACCACAGCCCTTGGCTGCACAATTGGGTTAAATCATTGAGCTCCTCTCATAGATTGCTAAGTGCTGGTAAAAACTTCACATGCTTTTTAGTCAGCCCATGCTCAGTCTTCAACCATTTTTCTTACATTCTTACATTTTTCAGGGTTTTATGTTGATCAAATGCTGCCTGGTGTTGTCAACTTGGGGAGCTGAAAATGCTTTAAAATAGTATATTATTAAATAAGTTCAAGGATTCATGGATGTAATGTGTTCTAAAGCATCTCTACCCAGCATGCTTAAAAGGAGTATCAGTGATATAACAGTGATGATGCAGATAAATGTGGTGTCAACGTTCGTCTCATGAATTTTGCCTCCTGTATTGGCTCGTGCTCAAAATTATTTGACTCTTCTGGTGTTTATATTTTCAGGCCAATTTGAAGGGTGAGAAGGAGGTACCAGACTCGATGAGTTTCCATCGAAATGTCGGAAAAGTCAGGCCAGAGTACAAAAGCAAAGGATGGGAAAACCAAGTATGCAACACTCAGTCTGTTTAATACTTACAAGGGAAAATCACTGGAAACTCAAAAAACCACAGGTGAGTACACTGACTTGAATGCTGCAGTATTTCCTCATCACAGCAGTGAAGTCATCTAGGAGTGCAAAGCACGTGAGCACCTGACCACCGTAAGATTTTTGACCTGCTTGACAGTGTGGTTAAATGGAAGAATTGTGGGAAGGAATCTTGATTAGTTTCTGATTACCTGTAAGGTAGTGTTTCAGTTCAAGAAGAGAATATTTGCAGGTTGCTAAAAAGCAGACTATAGATGAATAAGAGAACTATTTAGTGTCTGCTCTCTATTATCAGCATTTGCCATTCTCTAGCTATTATTTAACTGTAAATTGATGGGCAGTGGTATAAKAGTGCTTGTACCACTGTGCGTATTTTGAGATCTGTTGTGAGTGTATTTGTTCCTGCTACTGTTCCTCCCCTCCAATCCCTTTTAAGGATATAAATAACATAAAGACAAACACAGAGTGAAACTTTCCTGAAGTCCCAAACAAGGCCAGCCTGGTTATGCTTCTTGGTGATTGATAGGGTTGAGAAGGATCGGAAGAAAAAAACAATACTCTGTAGGCCTTGAATGTAATTTCATGTATATGCCTAAGTCCAGGGGGAGATTGTATAAAGAATTGGAATTCAAACTTGACAATTATTTTTAATACTTATTGTTATTTTGAAGTTTAGAGCTGTTTTACATTTTAGGTTTGAAAATAATATGCATGTATGTTATAGCATACTTAGGATAGTAACTTCTACTTTTTTCACCTGAATTAATTAATTGGTAGGTTGCATGTCCTGTGCAGTGTTAGGTTTGTACTGCTTTTCATACCTGTGGACTGGAGTAAATGCGCTTTGTAGGAATGTTTTTGCAAGGACAGCATCTGTCAACTGAAATTGAAGCACCAGCCAGTGGGCTTGTGCAGCAAAAAAGAAATGGGCTGGACCCATGTGTKTGTTCTTGGACTCATCAAGGTATGTTAAACCCCAAAAGGAGGAAGAGAATGAATAATATTTGACACCGTCGTAAAGGGCTTTTAAGATATCAACGTTATATTTACGAGAGCTCCTCTAGCTTACTGTCACTGAGCAGTGCTTCTAAAAGTGGGCCATATATCCCATTTCATCTCCGGAATAGGTTAACTATATTAATTCACTGTATAAAAAATACTCAAGCCATGCCAAGCTGAATATTTCTAATTCCCTTTTTTAATRAATTGAAAAGTATTTTGAGTTTCTAATTCTTTTTTTTCCTTAAACTTCCTCTCAATTTATTTACCTTTTTTTGCCTTTCTTTTTTAATTATTATTTCTGTAGCTCTACTAAGGAGCATTGTTAACTTCTGCTTTCTCTTTTGGCATGCAGTTGCCGCACGCCATGGATTGCAGAGTCTGGGTAAAGTTGCTATATCGAGGAGGATGCCTCCCCCTGCTAACCTCCCTAGTCTCAAAGCAGAGAACAAAGGCAATGACCCTAATGTGAACATCGTGCCTAAAGATGGCACAGGATGGGCTTCGAAACAAGAACAGCATGAGGAAGAAAAGTAAGTGACCAGTAAGATCAGGCTGGGTTTGCTGGGACTTCTGGGTAGTGCTTTGCACTAACCTTTTATTATTTAGCAAAATATTTTTTTTAAATTCTTGTTACATGCTAAAAAAAAATTGAGTTAGGTTATCTAAAATCGCGTTGTGGTAGTTAGCTCTTGCTTTACTGCTACAATAAAACAGTTCTAGTCTATTAATTTTCCCCATTATTCTTGTTTTATCAAAAATAAGTATCAATGAGCTGGAGATTTTGGCTTGGGGGCACTCTGGAGGCTTAAGATATTTGCAGAGCCAGAGTACCTGTTACTGAAAGAGGCTGAACAGCCTCACTGGATTTGTGGACTGGAATGATCTTCYTTGAACATGTGTTTGTTTCTTAGATTGAGAAAAAATTAATGCTTATTGAGAATGTCTGTCTCTTTTTCATTGCTGTGTAATGAAATTGAGACTGTACCTTTGTTCTCAATAGAAGTCAACTTTCTTTTAATCCTTGGTACTCGTTACTTCTTTCATGGTGTCTTTAGCTTTTATTATCAGTTTCTTGTACTTCATAATTTTTGACAGACTTATTTCTGTCATCTCTGTGTTTATGGTGGTATTTTTTTAAATTGATTTTTTTCTCTCAGCYGCTGAGCCAGGAGAACATTATTCCAAAATTTTTCCTTCCATTGTGGGTTCAGCCATTGTTGGTTGAAGGGCTGGTTGCAGAGTGACTGGATTTTCATCATCTAATAAACTAATTTAAAAGCTATACAGCTTCTGTTCTTGATGGATTAGTGTTCCTACCCAGCCATTTTTATTCTTAACTCTTTGCTTTGGGTTATGAATATCTATCCAGTGTAGAGAGCTAATTGATTCCAATTTAACTGCTACTATAACAACAGTTGTTATATATGAAAATGCTTTTATACAGAAGAGTAGTTATTGGTTCTTCAGCTGCAGTTATCTCACTTCATTYGCTTGCAATAGTCGTCCTGACAATCTCATTCTGTGCTCAGTCCCTCTTGCATTCACAAGTGCTTTTCCTCTGATTGCAGACAGCCAGAAGTGCCGCAGACACAGCCAAAACCTGCCGCTCCTGCTCCTCCAGAAGCAGCTCCTGTTGCCAAATCATGGGCCAGTACCAAGCCAGGTGGGCAAGGAGATGGTAAGTGGTGTTAAAGGTGGTGGGAATCTGGACTGGCCTAGCGGGCTATGAATGCTGCTGTGAGAGATCCACACTCAGCAACCTTTTGAGTCTTGACCGAGCCAGCTGGGACTAGGAATGCTGTGGAAGCAACTTTCTTGGCCTGAAGGTGAGCCAGTCCCTTGTCACTCAAGTGAGCTCCAGCCCAGTTTAGTAGGTAGCTGACTTTTAAAGGGCTTGCATGGCCCTTTGGGGGAGATTGGCAGGGCAAGGGTGATCTTGATCAGGGCAGATCGAGATCAAGGCAGATCTTGAACAGGGCTGAAATGGGTGGAGGAAAAAATCTGTATTTTTAGTGTATATAATTCTGGCATAGGAAGGAGCGGCATAAATGCTTAGTGATCTGTTTATTCATTATTCTGAATTGTTCTRTTCCAAAGGTGTAATATCTTTTTTCTTTATAAGTGTCTGTTACAACACTACTTTGCTTATCTTTGGGAACTCTCTGTGTATTCCTTGGTTTGTTGTGTTTCTTTTTGAAATGATACAGTTCAAGCAGGGCTTTTTATTTTTTTTTKCTGGGTCAAGGTGTTAAAGGTATCTTATGTAATTATGTGAAAKAATGGAGAATTCTTTCTGTTGCTGTGGATCTTACCTTGACTGTTTCTGTTGTGGATGTGAGGTTAGAGTTCGTTCTTCAGCAGACTTCTGAAATTGCATGTGAGGATTGAGAGGTTGCTTAGAATGTTTGCATCTCCAAAAATAACCCATGACTTGTTTTGTTGTCTTAAATCTGAGGCTTGCAAGATTTCTGCATCTGAAAATTTTGTCTTGCATGTTGAAGTGAGCTCTTTTCTAGATGGATCTTGGAATAGTAGCATAGATCTGTATTACATGGAGATAACTTCTAAGCCATTACTTAGAGCTTACTRTTACTATTGCACATGTAATGACTTTGCCGTTTTCATGGAGTAGACATTCACAGTGGCAGTTCTTAGAGTTTGCACTTCTCACTCCCTGTCTCGTGCCCGTTGTTTACTCCCTTCTCCGCTATGGAAAGTCTGCTCCCTTAAGCCAGCTCTGCAATTTGTCTTGAGGGAGTGTTGTAGGATAGATGTTCAAAAAACCCCACTGGTATGCAGCTCCCTTTGCCTCAGCCATTCTACATGAGCTGATAAGATCACTGCTGATGTGACATGGGAAATAAAGTGGTTCGGCTCAGTGCTTTAAATGCATTTAGCTAATTACTTGGGGGTTGCCATGGCAACGGTGTGCCAATCCCAGATGGCGCCCTCATTCCGCTCTGTTAATGCGGGAGCGGGGTTGGTGGCTCGGGAAGCAACGCAGGGTGTGAGCTGGCATCGCTCGCCCTGCTCCCGGGTTTGGGACTCGGAGTACACCTGTCGTGCTCGTATTTCCGCGCTCCGCACTTGGCTGGTGGGGCTCGGGCTCTTTCTAGATGCCTTGCGTGCGGTCCAGCAGGAAGGGAGCCAGCAGCCTCGTGCTTTTGTAACTCTTCGTTTGGGTGAGGCAAGACTGAACCCTTCTCAGATATTCCATGTGACCGACTGGAAGGGAAGGACTTCTAAAATGTAATTGCAGCATGCATTTTTCAGCTCTCCTGTTGATTAGAAGGTGAAGTTAATTGCTGCTGTAACATCTTTGAAGACCTTAATTGCTGAACTGTGCTTGGCTGGCAGCCTAGCTATTTCAGGTTGATGACCTGAGTGCCATCGAGTTTATCACTGAGGATGGCATTGCTTTACAATTAAAACATTGCCGTCAGTGTAGACTTTGGCAGAGAGCATTTTCAAGATGTATAATCTAATGAGTGTCACAGGCCACAGGACCTGTGAAGAGGATCCCTGGCCTGTTTAGCGTGGCTGTTGCTTCCAGTCCCATTAAACAAGCTCTTGGATGTAACTAAATGGATGTAGCAGAGGAGTCCAGTGTCTGAAAAATAAAAAGCACAACAATTAACCTGACCTGTAGAAGGTGAAGTTGGAATCAAGCTTGAAAGTTCTCACTGCAGTCTGTAGGCACAGGTGCAAGTATTGTGGTGTTTGCTGTTATAACTTCGCAACAAAAGTGAAGAGAGTCAGGATTTTGCCTTGTGCTTGTTTCTTAATCTTGGAAAAACATCCAGGTCCTTATACTTTAGTTTGCCCTGCAGTCTTTGTGGCCTACCAGGCTGTCTCTTAGAGTATCCAGGAGCTAAAATAGATGCATGAGCAGGGCATTATGCAGACTGAGAGAAAGTTTCCCTCAGCAAGTTTCAGTGATTTGGTATCAGACTAATAGGTCAATATTCAACGTGTGTCTGGCAGGAGGGGAAAATGACTTTTCTTGAAACCTTTGACGTAACTCTGAGTTGGAAGTTAAGGCTTTTGTTATAGCTGATAGACCAAACATAGATTGTCTTCCTGTGTGGCAGTTTCTTAACTTCTGCTTTGAATCAAAGAATGTTCCAGTTCTGATACTAAGTTTTCTCACAAGATAAAACTGTGGCCTTCAGTAGTCCAGCAGAATTATTTGCTATTACAGCAGTGATGAATCTTAGGGGCTTTGGCAATAACATAACTGCCTGTTCTTAGATTGACTGTAGTTGCTGTGAATAAAACAAGGGAAATCTTTGTGCTTGAGAAAAGGATGTTGACAGAGCTGAGGAACTTAAGTGCTCCCTGCGTTGCATCTTGCTCCTTTGGGCAATTCAAGCTGTCCATTTGTCTCTTTGGTTGCTTCAGGATTTCTCTGCAGTCTTGACAGATAATTGACCCAGGAGATTTGACAGTGTTGGTGTTTGGTAGTAAATGTGAATCGTTTGTAAGGATTGCTCTAGGCTCATGTGAATTCTATGTTACCAGTAAATTAAAGTAGCTTTCAAGTTCACCTTTTAAGGACAATCAGACTTAAAGGCCAGGAAACCTTCTGAACTCTTCAGACTACAAAAATTTGTGACTTTGATTCTGTAATTGTGTAGGTCCAGCTATTCAAGTAAATAGTTATTTCCAGCAAGAGTTTCCCAGTCTGCCGGCAGCTGGGGATCAGGAAAAGTCAGGCAAAGAAAAGGATGCATCTGAAGAGCATGGATCTGGACCCAGCTTGCGACCCCAAAGTAAGTATTTGATATGAATTTTTGTGAAATTGCAGGTATTTGTGTAGAACTTACTACAAGATTGCTTGCTTCCAGTACATTGAATGGATTTTTTTGATCAACCTGCTTTTACAGTACATAAGTTGTTGAAAATGATTCAAACTGTCCTTCCATAAGAAACTCTTGTAACTGTCTCACTGTATGGTTATCTTTTTTTAAGAGCTTGTCGTAGGAATTTGTGGGGAAAGGGGGCTGCTTTTTTCTTTCTCTACCATGTTCCCCATTTATGGAAACAAGGTATTTCTCTTAATCCTGTTCTGCAGTTTTCTCCCTGTTTTCCTAAACTGCTCAGTAATCCACTTGTTTCCAAGGGACTTGTGCTGTTTGCACAATACTAACATTTTAACTGTTGTGGCATACAGCAGACAAAAGTGTATATAAAGTGCTTTCCTAATATCAACTAACCACRAAGATAGTCTTTAGAATTACCCCAGAATGCATAATCTCATGCCTAGGCTGAAAGATAACCTGGTTTGGAAGTTTAACTTCAAGGCCAGAGTGGACAGTGCTGTGAAGGTCTGGGGCCTCTTCAGCTCTTGTCCTAGGTGCTGTGACAAGTTGGGTCTATTTCAATTTTGGATGCTTAACCGTAGCAAGACAATCATAAACATAAATTAGGTTGATGTTATGTTTCAGTTTGAGATGCCTGCTATTTCCCTGGTCCTTTTTATGGAAAGGCATTAGACATTATGTTTGTCTCCTGTGAGGAACAGGTTTTCTTTGGTCCTCAGAGCTTTTTGATGGGTTTTGCACCTGATAAAAGTACTTGATTGATAAATCTTAGTTTTCCTAGGCTTTTTATTAGACACGTGAACCCAGAAGTAGAGCCCTAGTTGCTTCTGTTCCATCCCTCTTAGTTACAGCTGAGCCAGACTGTAGTCTTCTGCTGCCTAAGAAATTTCTTCCCCTTGACAGCAGCTTTTCATGTACCATCAAGGCATCGAGCTGATAGAGTGGCCACCTTAAAACAACTAAGGCTGTATTCCATGTTGTGCTATTTTTAATGTCCTTCCTAAATTRCATTGTTTTCTGGAAGGTGAGAAAGACAGAGCAACCTATGAACTTAACTCCAGAGCAACCTGTGAACTTAACTCTTGCCCTTCAGGAGTTCAGTTGGGTATAAGTTTGAGAAAGGTTAAAAAACAGCCCCTTTTTACTTGAGTAGTGATTGCTTGTTTGGGCAGTAAATATTAACACTCATCTGTATAGAGATTACTGTATCACAGAAAACTCAATAGGCAGAGTATTTTTTTCCTTTTATTTGCCTCTGATTCTGTAATATAAAGTCTGTTCTTATTTTCTTTTTTTCCCTCGTGCTGATTCTGCCCATGCAGATAATACCAACTGGAGAGAAGGTGGTAATAAGAACAACTTACCTGGGTCTCCAACTGATCAAGAAGCTAAAACTCCTGGGCAAGATGATAATGCTACAGCACCTGGAGAACAAAATGATGCCCAGAAGGCAGCAGACAAGAGACTACCACAAATCCCTCAGCCCAAGCTGAATGGTCAGCAGCAACCACCGATCTCGTCTCAGTACAGGGCAATGATGCCCCCTTATGTAAGTGTGTAATTACTCTACTCAACTAGCAGCCTACTGAAGAGAAAGTGGTAATTATGTACTGCTAATCAAGGCTTATAGTCATTCTGCTTTGATGGCTTAATTTCACACACTTCTCATTAGCAGACTGTCCCAAGTGAAAAATGTTTCTTTACTTCCATTATCATTCCTTTAATGTTATCCGTGTGTTTAATATAGTGATATTTTAACAAATGATTTCTCTTAAAAACCTTTCCTAGATGTTTAATCAGTATCCAAGAATGGCATATCCTCCTTCCATGCAAGGTCCAACAAGGTTTCCTAATTCTGACCCTGGCAGGTAAGCAACTTTGAAGTGTTACGCTTGTATGGGCATGAACTTGTCTGTAACTTTTAAGTAGCCTGCCAATGTAATTATCAATAGCTTAACTGTCACTGTTTAGATTTTTCACAAGTTTGGTTTGTGCAGAGCAGTGCCACACCACGGTCACTTGTGTTGCAGAACTTYTTGAAAACCACATCTGGCCATCTGCAAAACTTGAGGAAATTATCCACTTCTTAGGGCTTTCATTTGGGGATGTTTTTCTGATGTGTGTTAAAACTAGCTTCCTTCCTCTGTCTTTTTGTAGCTGGAAGTGGCTATGCCCATGCATGAAAGAATAGGGGATTCTTTGTGCAGGGAGATAAGGTCTTTGATAGATGGTCTGGGTTTGTGGGAGGAGAAGCTGWGAGGCATGACAGGGAGAGCTTGAGTAGACATAGGGTAGAGAACCATGGACAAGGGGGAAAGCTTGGAAAGTGTGAGGAAGTATCTCTGAGGTAATTCGATCTGACTGTCAGATTTGTGTACGTGCTGCACAAGATGCAAGGTGTGGATTTCAACTATCGAATAACAGCACAGAGCATCAGGCTTGTAGGCTTGTTGTGCAGTATGTAGACAAGGCTGTAGCTTTTACTCTGCCATTATGAAATGATCTTTAGAAACCTTCCAAACTAGTAAGAAACCAAAGCRGTGAGTGATGTAGCAGTTATTATTTGAAACACAGTACTCGCCTGTCTGAARTTCATGTCCCGTGTATGATATATCCTGTATCCTGTCTGCTTGAAATTATTGCTTGTCACACAAGTTGACTTTGATCTGTTTGTGTTGCTGGATGGTGACAGTGGCCTTTGCTTCTGTTTCTCTTTCAGAGGGCCAAGGGGAAGAGGACCACCTTCCTGGTGTTCAGAACCTATTGAGCGCCCATCCATTCTTAGTGCTAGTGAACTTAAAGAACTAGATAAATTTGATAATCTAGATGCTGAGGCTGATGAGGGCTGGGCAGGTGAGAACATCAGATGGCYTTTTTTTTATTTGTACATTAAATCTTTCTGAAACATGAGTTGAATGTTTGCGTATGTAACAGGTGCTCAGAGTGAAGTGGATTACACTGAACAGCTGAACTTCAGTGATGATGATGAGCAAGGAAGTAGTCAAAAAGAGAAGGAAAGTGGGTAAGTTGGTGTTGCTGGTTTTAGGAGAATGGCATGTAATTAGCTTAGCTTTTGGGAAAGTTGAAGGAGCCAAAGCTTACTCATTTTGACAAGATTTATTCCAATAATATTATATTAAAATAAATTGTTTAACTGTATGCTCAAKTCAGTTGAACATACAGTAGAAATAGTTCTGATGGTGAGAAATTTTTGTTCTTGTTRAGAAAGATTGAGGATAGAAAATAAATCACCATATACTTTGGTGGAGTACACCTTCCATTTCCCTTATTTCTTTGTSTGCAGTGATGAGCAAACACCATCAAAAGACTCTCAAAGCCCCGATGACCAGAAGGAAGCAGAAGAGCAGACAAAGTCTGCCACACAGGTTTCCACAGCAGCAACCAAAGCACCCTATGGCAAAACCCCTCAGCTTGATCAGGTTTGTATTTTTTTTTCCCTATGGGAAAATCCTTACCAGAACAGACTGGACTCAGGTGTCTTTCCAAAACTATCACGTCTATTAAGGTTACAACCATAAGTGAAAGTACTAGTTGCTACTGCTTATCTGCTTCTGTAACTGATCTGGTGCTGCTTAGCTGCTTCTAGCTACAAAATAGAAATGGCATGTTCTTATAGCATGTCTTTATGAACTCTGCCAGTTGCTGTAACTTAACTGACAAACTTCAGCTTGATACTTCTGTGTGTCCATGCCCTGTAAAAGGGAATGAAGCCGCGTTTGTCCGTGTGTCGTGTTTTATAGTGGCACTGGGTAAATGTGCCCTGTTGGCCTATACATCTTTTCTGATTTTTATATCATGATTTGCTTTCTTCAGCACAACTTGGCCAGCTTAACTTCTCAGAAATGTTTTACAGAGACCATACAGAATTTATCAGTTTAGCCAGTGTGTTTTTTGGATTATCCTGTAGTAGAAGAAGATTAATAACTATTGTTAGCCATATTGGAAAATTTCATGGAAACATGATGCTTGTAATGGTGAAGGTTTGGGGATCCTGAATCTATTTTGCTATTTAGCTCTATATAAAGAGCTTTACAGCCTTTRAGGATTTGACACTACATTAATTCTGAGAAAAACAGTGCAGTAGCATAAAATTTGGTATTTGGATGTGAGGCATTTCTAAAATAATTGTTTAGCTTTCAGTACAGGATATAGAGATGTTCTTGTGATGTGATGGCTTAATGCAGTAGAGAAAACAGTAAATCCAAAATTTGACAGCCTGTCACTGCAAACTTGCTTACCCTAATACTTGCTTACCCTAATACCCTAATTCAATCCTATAGGACCGAGGTCCAACACAGCCCTCTATACATGAAAGAGGTGGTCCTGCTCTTCATCCAAAATCTATTCTACCACCGGTAAGAAAAATTAGAGCTGTCTTTATTTGCTTGCATGCAGCTCTTTGATGCTGTCATGGAGGGAATTAGAGGATGTCTCTAGTGAAATCTGTAGGTGGTAGCCTGTTACCAATTTTCAGCAGTTGTTATTAAAATCTCTGTGGTATCCTAACCTCTCTTGAATTTCTCTGGCTCCTTGGTGGGGAGCCCTGTCTGTGCTCTCCCCTGAGTCTCTGTGATGAAGTGGACTGTAACCAAACTAATGTGATGTTTGTCACCTTGGCATCCTAGCAGTGATGGGAGAGGTGTGGCCATGAGGCCAGCAGAATCTTTTTACCACTCCTCCTGGGTTTCATGAGTCAGAACTGGAGCAGGAAGGCAGGGACCTGCTTTATGTCTTCCAAACCTTGCTGTGTAAACATGCCATCCAAGTATAAGTTTTGGAAAATAGATAAAATGTACTATTTCAGTTGACTGGTATAATATGTTTTCTGCTAAATTTATTGATTTTAATATTGCAGCACCCTCCTCCCGATCGTCAGATAGGAAGACAGGGTCCCTTTCCCCCTAAACCAGTACCAGATGAAGATGAAATCTGGAAGCAGAGGAGAAGGCAGCAGTCAGAGATATCGGCTGCGGTTGAGCGAGCCCGTAAGCGACGTGAAGAGGAAGAAAGAAGAATGGAAGAACAAAGAAAAGCAGCTTGTGCAGAAAAGCTAAAACGGTTAAATGAGAAATTTGGCTGCGTGACAAAACCCTCCCGGGATGACCCTCTAAAAGAGAGAGAGAGGGAAAGAGAGAAGGAGAGGGAAAGGGAACGAGAAAGAGAAAGGGAGAGAGAGAGGGAAAGGGAAAGGGAGCGAGAAAGGGAAAAGGAGAGGGAGAGAGAAAAAGAGAGGGAGAGGGAGAAGGAAAAAGAAAGAGAGAGGGAGCTAGAAAAAGAGAGAGAAGAAAAAGAAAAAATGGAAAAAGCAAAAGAACAAGAAAGGGAGAGTGAGAAAGAAAAGGAGATAGAAAAGGAGGAGAAGGAGAAAGAAAAAGAAGAGGAGAAGCCAACACCTGAGGTTCCTGAGCCTGAAGAACCTGTGGCAGCACCTGTARTGGAAAAACAAGAAAATGAAATCAGGAATAACAAGGAAGAAAAAGGTATGCTTGCACAACAAGGACTTGWCTTAAAGCTGAACCACAAAGCACAGTTGCAGTTTAGAAATTTATATTCACACCTACTTAGCCTAGTGCGTCTAGACCATTTGTTTTCTTAGCACATTACATTAGCACAAACTGCCCTTTGGTCTGAGGCTTAGTCCTTTTTGACCACTTCATCAAAGTCTTAAAGCAGAAATTGTGGATTCTATGGTTTAGATTTGGTTATGGTTTATTTACAACGCTGCTTATCACGTAATCGTTACTCTGTCGRTACTCAATTGCCCAGTTTGAGTTTATAAAGAATATTCAGAGATATATGAACACCAGTTGTTCTGCTATCCTGAGCTAATTCGTACTTAGGATACTTTGACGTTATTTTGGATACTAAAACTGAGAAAAAACAGACTGCTTTCATTTTGGGAAAATACTCTGTTAGCTTGACTAAATATGGCACTTGTATTAGAGCAAAATTACTATAATTTAAGATGCATTCAGTGAACTTGTATCTAACAATATCTAACTCATTTTTCAGAAGATCAACCAGTCTTTACCCGTCAAGACAGTGGTCGGAATGAGAAAGAGAAAGACACTCAGGTGCCTCATGAAAGYGAGCCCGATTCAGGGTCTCAACCTCGTCCTACTGTTTCCTCTGGCTATTCTAAGCAGTTCCAGAAATCACTGCCACCAAGATTTCAGAGGCAGCAGGTAATTAAYTAGTTTATTAAAAGAAGAAATAATATGCTTATATTAACATTATGTTAATTCTCCCTCATCCTGGAAGAATATTGACTGTATGAGTTYAGAAGAGGCTAAGTTGTTCGCTTCTGGCAGGAATTGTTCTGCTTGAAGGATTTCTCACTATTGGGAAACTATGTAGTTGAGCAGAAGGCAAGAGGGGCAGCTGGCTTGTTCTTGCAGAAGTTACTGSAAGTAGAGCAATTTGCACTCAGATCCTAAGCTTTGAAGAACACTTTGATATATTAATGAATTGTGCAAAGTATAGGTTCTGTATTTTTCCTGAACATGGGCAAAGCTGTAGCTATTCTAAATTGTCCAGTTTGATTTTCCCACTGCACCAGTTCATGCTGGTATATTCCTGTCCTTTAATTTTCAGGCTACTTAGTGTTAGGGGGATAACTTCACTTCTAATTGCTGGGTTCTTTTAATTTCTGTCCAAATGCTCGTCTTAACAAACAATCCCATGATAACTTTTTTATGCAGGAGCAAATGAAACAGCAGCAGTGGCAGCAGCAGCAGCAGGGTGTGCTTCCCCAGTCTGCTCCATCGCAGCCTTCTAGTGGCCCTGTCCCTCCTCCCCAGCACAGACCTCTCTACCAGCCCATGCAGCCGCATCCCCAGCATTTGGCTTCCATGGGCTTTGATCCACGATGGCTCATGATGCAGTCTTATATGGACCCACGGATGATGTCGGGAAGGCCTGCAATGGATATGCCTCCTATTCACCCAGGTAAAACCTAGCAGCATTTTTKGTTGTTGAATTGTCTTGGTTTTGGAATAAAAGTCTCTTCTTAGAACCACACTGCATATCCCAACTGCGTATTTTCGTGGAGGGGAGGCCTATATAATTTCACCAGGTACAATCAAGCATATTTTAGCCCTGGAAAAACTGTAGTGATGTATCAATGTCTCTCTGCTAAAGTAAAATCATAGCTTTGTCCTGTAGTGCAGGTGTTAGCGATGTTACAGCTGCATTCAGAATGTGAATAAAAAAACTTGCTTTGCTTTGTTACAGATTTTAAAGTTGACTTAGGTTAAATCAAGCAAAAYGGCATTTTTACCATTTGCCTTCCATTATTTGCTAACATCTTTATATCACATTTCTTATAAAAATGAAAATATACTTTAAAAAAAAAAGCTATAATCTGTTAACACTTTAAAAGGCTTGCTAATTTTGTGGCTTTGGGATTCTTTTCTTGGCACTAAAAAGCACTTTTTAATTTGTGGAATAGCAATTAGGAGGCCTGGCTTGCAATTAGAAAAGCCATTGTGCAAAAATAATAGCAGTCTGGCATGTGATGTAAAGGAGATATTTAAGCAGCGAAGGAGCCAGAGTAGGGGTGGGGAGTGCAAAGGGATAGGTATTGAGAAAGAGCCTGCAAGGAATGAATGGAAGAAATGGCAAGCCAAGCAAAAGTAGTGAAAACAGGTCTTTAGAAACAGCAACAACAAAAGGTTCCTGGAGTCCTTAATCAAGTACTAAAAGCCACTTTTTTCCCTCAGTTTCTTAGAGCAGAACTTTCTTCAACAATTTTATAGGCCTCCAGAACTTAGGCTTCTACTATGGTGGAAGCAGGCAGCTTTTCCTTTTCTTGGTAGATAGGGTACCTAGTGGTGAAGATTTGATCTTCCTGAGGTCACCCGATTCAAACAGTGGCAGAGGAGGAAGAGGGAAGAGTTTTTCTGGTACCTCTGATAGGCTCAGTCTCTCTGAATATAGATCTTTTTTGAAATGTTAAAAGGAGTTTAATTGTTGAATTTAAATCTGTCACAGGAATGATGCCTCCCAAACCACTAATGAGAAGAGACCAGATAGAGGGATCAGCAGCTGGTTCRGACTCATTTGAACATATGGCTCGCTCGACGAGGGAGCACCCCGTCCCTCTGTCCGAGCCCCGCGTGATGTGGGGGTCTGACCCCTACCCCCACGCCGAACCTCAGCAGGCTAGCTCTCCTCCCAAAGCGTTGGAYGAGCCTGAAGATTTGAGGTAAGCCCGAGTCCTTGTTCCTTCTTTGAGCCTTACACGCCTAACTGCATGTTAAATTTTGTTAAACTTTACAAGGAGCTGTGGCTGYAGAGATAGGATGTACTTGGTACTGTTGTTTTCAAACATCATTGAAATTCCGTATATATTGATTGTATATAAAACAAGGCCTGCTCCATAGGAGGGACTAGAAGATTAATTTGCTCCTTATTTAGGATATGTAACATATGTAAGAATATTGGTGAATAAAAGCTTTCTTCCTCCAACATTCTTTGTTGCTTCTCCTCAGGCCTGAGGCACACATGGAGCAAGACCGAGKTGCTGCTGTCCCTACTGCTTATCCTGTAGAGCACAACCAGTTGGATTCTCATCCAAAGACAGACTTTTTCAGAGAATCGGCAGAGGTGGAGGTGCAGAAGTTCCCAAGCAGGCCTTCAGAAGACGTACAGCCTCTCCAAACTGACATGCCTAGCCCAGCAGTTAATTTTGAAGGAGTTAATGAGAATATTACACGCAGCTCTCAGGAGGAATTGGTGCCTGTGGGGGAAAGTCACTCTTCTCTGAAGAGAAGCATTTCCCATGGTTCAAGTCACTCTTTAAAATCAGAAGACCAGAGGAACGAGACAGTAACGAATATTTCTAAATTAAATAACAGGTCGGTTGAGACAAAGGAGACTGTGGAGAGACTTGAGATTAAGCCAAGAAAAGAAACTTTGATCAGTAATAGAGCATTGGAAGGACCAAAACCTGAAAAAACATTCAAACCTAAGTCTGAAACAAGATGGGGTCCTAGGCCTGGTTACGGCAGAAGAGAAGAAGGCGGTGATAGACCTATAAGAAGATCTGGTCCTATTAAAAAACCTGTGCTTAGAGATATGAAAGAAGAGCGTGAACAACGAGAAGAACGCGAGCAGAGGAAGGAGAAAGAAGGAGAAAAAGCAGCTAGCGAGAAAATGGGCAAATCTGAAAAAAGTGACAAAAAGGAAGCACCTCAAGTGCCACTGCCTCAGACTGAGCCCGAAGCATCTGCCTCCAGCAGTGCTGCTGCTCCAGGGAAGAAGATAACCCAGGATGCTGCTTCAGTAGCAGCAAGCTCAGAGAGCAGCCAAAGCGAGGCAGCAGCTAAAGCTCCAGTGCAGCCCCCCACCCYGCCAGTGCAGCAGCAGCTCCCAGCTGCGCAGCCCCCTGCCCCACAGCCTCCCGCAGCGGCCCCACAGCCGCCCCCTGCCCAGCCTGCGGCCCCACAGCAGCCCCATGTTCAGCAGCCAGCTACCACAGCGAAGGAGGAGAAGCAGACAGAGAAGGTGGCCAGCAAGGAGGTGATAGAGAAACCACGTTTAGAAACCAGACCTGTGAAAAGAGAGCCTGGCTTACCGCCTAGAACATACTGGAAGGAGGCTAGGGATAGAGACTGGTTCCCAGATCAAGGATACAGAGGTAGAGGTCGCGGGGAATATTACTCCAGAGGTCGCAGCTATAGAGGTTCCTATGGGGGACGTGGCCGGGGCAGTAGAGGCCATAACAGAGAGTACCCACAACACTACAGAGATCCTAAGCCTAGATCAGACCATGTGCCTTCAGGGCCTGTCAGGCAAAGGGAAGAGAGTGAAACCCGTAGCGAGAGTTCTGATTTTGAAGTCATCCCRAAACGGCGCCGCCAGCACGGCTCCGAAACGGATTCCGACAGCGAGGTTCATGAAAGCGCAAGCGACACCCTGCTCTCAGACAAGGACAGCCTGAGCAAAGGCAAGCACCCCAAGAGAGAGGAGAGACCTGAGAGCAAGAAGCCTTCCAAGCCCCTGATGTTCAAACCTGAAAACAATATCAGAATAGACAATAGATCCATAGAAAAAACCTATATAAGGGAAGATGAGAATAAACCCAAACCAGGGTTTCTTCCTAAAGGAGAGCCTTCTAGACGAGGTAGAGGGGGAATGTTTAGACGTGGTGGTAGGGATCCTGGTGGGCGTCCTCCACGTCCATCTACAATAAGGAGACCGGCCTACAGGGACAATCAGTGGAACCCTCCTAGGCAAACCGAAATCATTAAACCAGAAGATGGGGAACCTCCAAGAAGAAATGAACATTATGGTCCTATACCAGTTGATAAAAGACCTCAAAAGTTCGAGAGGAAGTTTGATCCAACAAGAGAAAGGCCACGAAGACAAAGGCCTGCTCGGCCTCCAAGGCAGGATAAGCCACCGCGCTTCAGGCGCCTAAAAGAAAGAGAGGCTGCCTCGAAGATAAACGAGGCGGTAGCTAATTCATCAACACCTGCGACAGTTAATAATGCAGTTAACGAGCAGCCCACCACCGCCCTGGATGTGTCGGGGAGTAAGACACCAGACTTGTCCAACCAGAATTCTTCAGATCAGGCAAATGAAGAATGGGAAACGGCCTCAGAAAGCAGCGACTTCAACGAAAGGCGTGAAAGGGATGAGAAGAAAACKGCAGATGCGGCAGCACAAGTGGTTGTAAAAGCAGGAGAAAACACTGGAGCCCCCAAAAGGGAAATAGCCAAGAGAAGTTTCTCTAGTCAGCGGCCTGGAATTGACCGTCAAAACCGACGTGGCAACAATGGGCCAGCTAAACCCGGGAGGAACTTCTCAGGGCCTCGTGGTGAAAGACGGAGTGGTCCTCCACCCAGAAGTGGAAAAAGAGGGTGAGTGCTGGCTTCTCTTAAGAAGTATGTATGCCTGTGGACTTTGGCTGTGGTCCTCCTGTGGTTCAGAATGGTTGCTAGTCATTTTAGATCTGCAATAATTCATAGAGTGAGACAGAAATGCATAGATCTGTGGCTATCTGCTTATTTTTATGTCTATATATGGTAATTCTTGGAAAATGAATTTCAAAGCTTCATGCTGTGGAGGGTTGTATTCCGTGTTGTAGATTGTTGCATTTCAGGGTTAGTTTTTTTCCCTTTTGCCCAGGCTTAAATTTGTGATCAATGCTCTGTTTTACACACTACATAGTAGATACTTGTAGCTCTGTACTGTGATGTGTGTTAAACTGTTTATGTTTGCTCTGTCCCTGGTTATCAATTTTCTGTTTATTTTTCCTATACAGACCATTTGAAGAGCAGACAGCAAGTGTGCCTGCTGTTGATCCCACCAACAGCACTGCTTTGCATCAGGAAGAAGGTGCTAATGCTGCAGGACAAAAAAGTGCTAAGGATGCCAGTGGCAAAAAGAGAGAGGAACCCAAGGCTGGTCCAAAACCCAAGCCTAAGGAAAAAGTGGATGCCTTGTCTCAGTTTGATCTTAACAACTATGCAAGTATGTGTTGATAAAAATCTAATCCTAACAAGAATTTGTAAATCCTACTAGCTTTGCTGCATATAGAACTAGATGTTTGAAGACTTTTGGAGAAAGATGATCTTCAGAAAATAAATAATACAGAAAAATCACATACTCAGTTGTTGCTCCCTTTGTCCTATCTAATTAACAACGTGTATTCCTTTAAAAAGTGACGTGTAACACTGTTTTTATGTGTAGATGGGAACAAGGTTCTTCTACTGTCTCTTCTGAACTCTTGACATTCAGACCACTTTCCGCCACTTGGTTTCTGGTAATTTGCTTAACTTTCATAAGCAAAGGCAGTGGATGTCACTGAAAAACTTCCAGATGGTTTTCCTAAAAGAGGTTGTCTTGAGCGGTTTTAGCTCTTATTTCACGGAGAGTTTGATACAGAAAACTTCAAATTGCCTGTCCTTTAATTAAAGAAGTCCCTCTTGATGCTCCTCACAGTGAATGCTGCACACAGAAGCTTAGCCATGATCAGGGCCACCATCTGTGGCTGGTTGCTGGGAGATTGCTACCACTCTAAAGCAGTTTTTGTCTTGGTGTGTTCTATTTCATGCTGCATCTAAAGCTATTGAGGCACTAGGGAAGGACCATCTATACCTTTCCTTTGTCTGTAGGTGTTGTGATTATTGATGATCACCCTGAAGTGACAGTAGTTGAAGACTCCCAGTCTAACTTGAATGATGATGGTTTTACTGAAGTGGTGTCTAAGAAGCAACAAAAACGCTTGCAAGATGAAGAGCGCAGAAAGAAGGAAGAACAAACAGTGCAGGTACAAGACACAGCATTTATAATGAGCAAAAGCTTCCTAAAATTCTTGGGATATTGCGGGTGTCGTGAAGTTGCAAAGTCTTGGTTCCCAGGCAGCTGTGTTTCATGTTTAAGTATGTACAGTTGTAAAATTTTAAGTTCAGAATTTGTAAATAAGTCTTCTCTTAGTTTAGGATTCTGTGCTCTCTGTTTAGTCACTGATCAGGCAGGTGGCATCAGGAAAGTTGAAACTGAGGGGTTTTGGTTTTTAATACTGCTAACTAGACTTATGCCACTGCTTGTGTCTTAGTTGATTCTAAGAGGAAAACAGATGAGAAATAAACCACTATTCTTGYTGTTAAATATACCTAAGAAGGCTTACCCGTTCGGTTTTCTGTTGTCACRCAGTGCAATTTGTCATCCAGGCAGGCTGTCTGCTTTGAGAATAAAATTGACTTCCACTTACAGGTTTGGACCAAAAAAGGATCAAGTGAAAAAGGACGAGGTCAGAACTCAAAGCTGCCGCCCAGGTTTGCCAAAAAGCAGCAGCAGCAACAGGCAGCAGCTGCGGCTGCGCAGCAGGCACAGGCTCAAGCTCAGGCTCAGGCCCAGGCCCAGCCTCCGTGTGGGACCCAGGCTCCAGGGCAGCCCCCGGCTTCTGCTCAGCCTCAAGCCCAGGYGGCGGCGGGGACAGCCAGCCCCGAGTTCGCGGTGCCGGGCAAAGTTCTGCAGAGCGCCCAGGCTCACAACGGGCTGGGAACTGAGTTGTGGGAAAACAAGGTGCCTTCTACAGCAGTTCTGAATGACATCTCCAAAAAATGTAAGTGGCGTCTCTGGAAATTCATGGGGAGGGACGAGTCATGGGGAGGGACAAGCCAGGCATTTAGAGAACGCTGATTGTCATCYCTCTTTGCTGATGTCTCATTTGCCACTGCTGATGTAGCCTGTTGCTGCACAGGGAGCAGAGGGCAGCCTTCACAAGTGCAGGGCTGTAAACAGTGGAGACTCCTGAAAGCAGCTGTTGCTCCCTTAAATCCATGCTGTTTTGTCAGACTTGTTTTTTTCCAAATGTGATGGACAGCTAAATAAGCAGCATAGTGGTAAGTGCTGCATARGTTAAGAATTTCACAACTGTCTGAAGCTTACTAAATAAACAATCTTTCTTGGATTTTTTTTTTCAGTTAATTCATAACTTTAGTTGAACATTTTAACCAATTGTTCTTAATTGTGTTTTTTTAATCCCCAGTGGGACCCATTAGCCCACCTCAGCCGCCTTCAGTCAGTGCTTGGAACAAACCTTTGACATCTTTCGGCGCATCTACATCTCCAGAGGTAAGGACCAAGAGGAGAGGAGCAGCTCTATACTGAGCTTACTCAGAGTATGCCTGTCTGGAATCAGTACCAACTCTCTAGATGTTTGTGCCGTGCACATGCTTGGAGGTCAAGCTTTGGAAGAGGCTGCCCAAGGAAGTGATGGAGTCACCATCCCTGGCAGTGTTAAAGAAACGTGTAGACGAGGCACTCAGGGACATGGTTTAGTAGGTGTGGTGGTCAAGGGCTTACAGCTGGACTCTGATCTTGAGGGTGTTTTGCAACCATAATGATTTGGTGATTAATTTTGAAAATTTTGAGAATAAAGAGAATTGATTGTAATTAAGAGAATTCTGTCAGTCTGAATCTGGGCACCTGGATATTGTACTTGTGCTTTTCCCTTTTTCTACTAGTTCTTSTTCTTGATCATTCTTTTTTTTCCTCCACTATTTTTCCTTCCCCTAGAGATTGCATAGACAGTAAGTAGTTAATTGARGAGCTATGGATGTGCATTCAGATACTGTCTGTTCCTCTTGCAAATCTGTTGTGGTGACAAATGATGCTTTTGCTGACAGGAGCCAGAAGTACAGTTGTGATCTTAAAAAGCTTGATCATATTTGCACTCTCTGAACTGGTGGCAATACACTAATTTGGAAGTCTTTTTGCAATGTAAATGTTTACCTTTTAACTAGGGAGGAAAGCCTGGACAGGAAGGTGGAGTTGAACTTGGTATAGAAACTATTCAGTTTGGAGCTCCAGCTTCCAGTGGCAGTGACAATGAAGTTGGCCCTGTGCTGTCTGAGAAGTCCACTGACAAGCTCCCGGAACCAAAAGAGCAGAGGCAGAAACAGCCTCGGGCTGGACCCATCAAAGCACAAAAGGTAAAGATGATATCTTCACCGTGAACTCACAAATTAAGTAATAGCAGAGCAGTTCAGTCAAAAAAAAAAAAAAAAAAAAAATTGCAGATCAATAATGGTTTAATTATGATTAATAATGAAATAGGATATTCGTTCAGTTAGGACTGTTACTATAAAATTCACGTTCTGCTTATATGCTTCCTAAAATAATCAACAAGTGGTTCATGGAGAGAAGATGAGGGAATTAATTAGAAGAAGTAAATGCAAGTAAATAGCATGCTAACTGAACAGAATTTGTTCCTTGATTCTGTGTTTGGAGCAAGGGATTTGACTCAGCCAAAGGGGTTGTGGATTGGCACTGTTGTTTTGGACTAGATCTGGAGGTGGATGGAGTGTGGGGTTTTTGTGTTTACTGCACTCAGGCTTTCAGAGCTCTCTTGAAGCAGGTGCTTCCACTTCTGTCTTAGCTGTATCTCCAGCTTTGACTCCTAGCATCCTCCCCCCAAAAAACAACGAAAAACCCTAGGAACACATGGTGCCCTGCTGAGTTTTGTAGCTAGTTTACTAAGCTGAGTAGTGCACCTAGCTGCAGGAACAAAAAAAAAAGGGTGTTTAGGAGGGAGTGTAAGTCACTCAAGTCTCAAATGTATAGATGTCTAGATTTCTTTTTTAATATAAMAGATCAGGGAAGACTGAATAAGTAACTGGACTTAACCTCGATTTAAAAACATGCATCACTTGCCATATGGAGATTTAGGTGATCCAGTCGATCATTTCTTCTTTGCCTTTCCATTGTGACCACTCAAAAGGAGTTCGCTTGTTCTCACATCATTTAAATCCTTTCTTGTGAAACTCCACTGTGAAAGTAAATGTACAGTCCTGTTCCCTTCCTTTCCAATGCATATTCCTCTGCATCACTAGCTCTTAGTGCCAGCTTCTGACTCCTAGAAAAATTAGGACAGATGCACTTGACTGGTGTCTTACTGAACCAGCTGTTTCAGTCTCTGGGTGTTTGAGACTTGGCAGTGGTTGTGTTGTAAATAAAGCTCTTTTTGAGGATAAATAAAGCTCTTTTTGAGGACTTTTGAGAAGATCAGGTAATTTGTTGGGGTTTTTTAACCTTCTCAAAAAAAAAGTAGAAATCCGAAAGTGTTGTCACATGTAGTAGAGTGAATTAACTACTTCTGCGTGAAATGCTGAACAGTTATCCTGCAATTGCTGCATTTTATTGCAAAATATGACCTCTTCTAGCAGGAAAGTCCTTCCTGGTTAATCCTGCTGCTGAAGTGTGGTAACCTAGCACATCCAAAAGCCTTCTTAGACATACTAATAGTTTGCCTACATCAAATCACCCAAAGGTACTCAACTCCAAAATAAGGTCATTTAATGTCTAGAAAGCTGCTGGGTTTTATTCTTTTTTTTTTTTTTTCTTTTTACTACTTCTCGTATTGCAGCTATCCAGGCTCCTATAGTTATTTTTTTCCTGCAAAACACGTGTATGATGACGTGGTAAATTCTAACAGTGTGGAGCTGGGGGAGGACTTAGGGGCTGCAGCTCCTTGGGAGCTTACATTCTGGGGGCTCTCACGAAGGAGAAGGGTGTAATTCTTTAGCTCCTTTGATGATAACACAGCTTCCCACCTCCCAGTCTCCTTCATGGTGRTACTATTTTCTGTGAGGTTTAAATACAAGTTTATGATGAGGGCTGGAGGTCAGTACTGTTCAACTGATGTAGGCATGTAAGAGAAGTATTGAGAACCATATAAGAAACATCAACTTATCTACTCGGGTTGCTTTCTAAGGTGGGATTTCTTTCTGTAAACTGGTAGAAGGAGGAATATTTGGGCAAGGAGGTCTGGGGGATAGTTCCTGATGATGCTCCTCAGTGACATTGTGGAGTTTAGGTCTCTGCTTCTTGYCCCCCTCTGAAAGCTGCCTACGGTCTGTGCTGCTGCCTGAGGGCAGCAAGACCCTGTAGGGAACCCTCCTCTCCCAGATACAGCAGGTCTGCATGTGCAGAGGCAACACCAGCAGCTCCACAAGAGCTTCTGTCCTTCCACTAAGGAAGCTTGAGCACTAGAACCGAGCGGACTGCCTTTAATCAATTTTGGTGCTGCTCTGGGGTTAAGTGGGCTGAATGGTCTCAGGTGGAAAGGATCTGACCGTTTAAACAGCACAGCATTCAGGTTCCTTGAGGCCTTTCATTCTGCTTTAGTTCGGCTGAACAAGCAGAATTACAGCAGCTAGGATAGCTGCTGTTTCTGCAAAATAAGGCAACGCTTTCATACTTTCTTTTTCCCCCCTCCCTCTGGGTATACATTTAGTGTGCAATTCCTAGATAAAAATAAGGCAACATGCATGTGTCCAGATAGCCTTAAATGAAGACAGCCGTTTGTTTCTAGGGCCCTGTWAAATCCAGATTCTCTGAAAATCAAAGTAACATCTATGCACGCAAAATCTTGTGGCTTACATGCTTTTTTTTCCATGGTTTCTGGTAAGGAGAATTAAAATGGTTGTTCTGTAGATTTTAACTAGATATGATTTTCGTTGACCTCTTGCACTTGACGTAGAGCAGATACTGCTTCAAAACACACTGCTTTAGATTCCTAATGTTCAAAATGAATGGGTTTCATATTCTTGTTTCTGAATCTCAAATGATCTGTAAGTTGAAAAAGAAAATGCTTACCTATTAAGAAAGCCTTACTAAGTTTTAAGTTGTTATTCTAAGCATGTTAGAATAATTCTTATGGGATAGGACATGGAGGAAAGACCTGACTGACAAGTTAACGCTACCTTAGCTTCCAGACTTGAGTCCAGTAGAAAACAAAGAGTATAAACCTGGTCCTATTGGGAAAGAGCGTTCTTTAAAGAACAGGAAGGTGAAGGATGCCCAGCAGGGAGAGCCGGAGGGACAGGAAAAGCCATCTCCCACCTCTGTCAGAAGTCCCGAACCTGTCACTGCAAAGGAGACCAAAGCAGCAAGTGAACTTAGTACGGAAATAGGAACGATGATATCTGTGTCTGCTCCAGAGTTCGGAACAAACACAAAGGTAAGAAAAACATGGAAAAAGTACTGAGCACTGTTTTTGAAAATGATTATATGAGTTAATGGTCACTGAACTAACATTTGGTTGCCTGCTGGTGATAGTCACCTGGACAGCAGAGCCCGCTGAGCTGAAATACATGATCGGTGCTTGAATGCAGCAGTTTTGCAGAAGTGGTATGGAGACATTATATCTCTGTGCAGATCTCACCTTGAAAGGCTTTAAACTAAACTGTTGTGTCTCAAATGTGAGAACTGCCCCAGGTTTTACCTTTGCTGTGAAGAGTGGAGCCTGGTGTAGGCAGATTGTGTAGACTTGGGTCTTGAACAAGTTTGCAACGTGCAGGAGAAGTGCCTGACTTTTGGCAGGGAACTATAATATGCGAGAGACCCTATTGGTCTATTAAAGAGGTTAGTATGTCAGCTGCTGATGACTTGAGTCTTGTCAGGATATTCCCTTGCAAAACTCAGTCAGGATGTTCAAGACTCGCTGTAGTTGCCCGTGTGCAATTCCCCTGGCTTCTCTGTAGGCATAACCATGCCTAACATTAACGGGTAGATTGCAACTTCCCGTCAGGATTCATCGTTCTCAARGTCCATCCTTAGCCACGTTGCTAAGGCTGTAAGGCAGCTACTCCTTTGTCTGTAGTGTCACGTAAGAAGTGGCACAGGGAGAAGTGGCACGCACTGCAGAACAGCCCTTGCTGCTCATAGCTGCACTTCTCGAGCAAGAACTTGGCACAAGCTCTTCTATCTCTCAGCTCTAAAGAAACCATATGCTTGAATAACTGCTGGTTACCTGTGTTGGTGATGGCAAAAGKATTCTCATGCACTTGCAGTTTTATGAGTTCAGGCACAAGTTTGTTTTGTATTGTCTCATTCTCATGTTTCCTGGTCTTAAGTAGATATTTCCTCAACGCACTTAGGAAAACCATTCCTCTGTAAAACAGCAGTATTAACAGTTGAAGAATCGTGCAGACGACTCAGTTTAATGTTTCCCAGGGTAGGGGGCTTAACAGCCTTAGTGGCATTTGCAGCGATGGTCCGCAAGCAGATGATATGTCCTGAAATTTCTTCCAGGGCAAGAATTGTTAAGAGTGGTGCTTGTGTCACACCAGCAAAATCCCTTGTTTTGAGTTGAAAGACAAATAGATATATGGAAACTCAGATTTTTGTGTCCTTGACAGTTTCAGTCTACTAAGCAGGTGTGAATGGTCTATGTTGATATCAGAACAGTTAAGTGCACTTACTCTATGCAAAATGTGAAATACAGACTCATAAACACTTGGTGAGCAGGGGGATTTGTGCATGTGCTTTCTTGCCATTTTCCAAGCTGTTATGACCAGAACCATTACAGTGGCCTGCCTGAGGTATGCAGATGGGAACTTCAGTTTATTATAAGGCACCTACAGAATAGGAAATGTATCTTGATTGATTACTCTGGGCTAAGACCCTCGTGAAGAGCTCTACAAGTAAATCAGCATCTTAGTAAATCAGTAATCATAGTATAAAAATGTAGGGTATCTTCCCAAGGGCAGTCTGGGCTTTGTGTTCTTTCTCTGCCTTTGTTTTCCATATTAAAAATGAGCTGTGAAGATTCTTGATAGTATTGCCTTATGGGAACATCAAGAGCAAGATTTCATTTTGGAAGGCAGAGCAGATTGAAGGGAACCTTTCTAATTTGTGTTGGACGTGAAAATCCCCAACAGTCTCTTTATCATGTTAAGTTGGTGCTAATAGAATCATTTAATAATAGTTGTGAAATTCCTATCTCAACAGTTCCCRCTTTGTTTTTGAATTCCTTTGATAGGAGTAGTTCCCCAAACATCAGTATGTTTTCCAGAAAAGAGGTGKTTTATTTTTAATTCTATGGAAGTTGAGCAATAGTCTATAGTTTTGGGGGTTTTTTTTTTCCAGGAAAGAAACTTCCTTTAGGACAGTCTTGCAGTCTTGCCACTATAAAATGGCCATTAAAATAGTTTCAAATACTAGTGTTGTCCTGAAGTTCCTATAGTGATTAGTTTTACAGATTTTTTTTTCCTGCCTTTGTGTTTTCTTTCCTCATTAATGAGAGGAGTAGTGACATCACCATCTTTAATCTATTGTTTGAATGTCAGGGAGTGTTAAAGTTTTAGCAGGCCTAAATGATTTCTTTCAGCACTCTTTAATATCCCTCTTGGAAACCAGTGCTTGGTTTCCAGGAAGAGACTCTTCCTACTTCTGGATACCAATTTTGGAAACATGGTAGTTGGGTATATTTGGTAATTAAAACTTCCTACAGATGCTTTTTAAGAGTCYCCCTTCCATCCCCAAATAAGACACTGTTAATGCATGCATATATTGCAATAATTATACAATACAATTTTACCTTTAATTGTATAAGTTAAAATTACTTTATACTGCTGAGCTTTTTAAATTGGGAAAATAAAAGTCCTCCTAAGCAATTGCAGCTGCTTCTCTTGGGTTTTGCAGTATTTGGGGAGTAGAAGTGGTTTGTTGTGTATGTTTCTGAATCAGGTAAGACGTTTTTTCCTTTTTTTTTTTTTTTTTTTTTTTTGCCTTTTTTTTTGCCTTTTTATCCAATTTCCAAGCATGATCTTGAAGCTTTCACATCACAGGTATGATGAATACCTGGCTGTGGACATTATAATGAAATATATGCATGTGTATTTGAGAGAAGCTGCATCTTTTGGAGATGATGCCCAGGAGCACATAGCTTGTAATTGAGAGTTGATCTTCTCAGATGGGTCAGCGTCTGATAAGCTCTCTGGTTTGGATGGTTTCATAAACCAGGAACAAATCAGGCATTCCTGGAATGGATCGTTTATAGTCACTGGTTCCCTTATAGCAGGGTCACCTCTAGGGTCTGCCTTACCTTTTTGCTTGCAAAGTCACTTCAGATTTTGATCTTTTTCTGGACAAATTAGATAGCGGTTAGCATGATTAGGCTGTATGCTTAATTATTCTCTTTATTCAGATATCGATCACTTTCAAACCATTTCAGAAAAGCCTGCACAACTTTTGCTCTTGTGGTTATTAGTGTATTASTTTGTAATACAGGACTTAGGCTTAGGTGGTCTCTTGAGTAAGACATTTTCACAGGAGAAACAGTTGAGCTCTGAAAGCTTGCAAGAATAGGCTCTAATTAAAGGGGAACTGTAGACTTTACCTATGAGGAATTGCAGGGTGATAGTTGAGCAACCTGCAGTTCATGAAGTGTTTTCTAGGGCCAGAGGGCTGTCTTACCTGCATGTTCAGGATGTAGTGCAGCTTTGCAAGTACTTCTGAGGAAACCAAAATGCATGTGGTTGTTCTTTCATCCTTTTGCATAGGAAGCAGTTTTGTGCTGCTTCCAAAGTGAGGAAGAGAGCAATGAAAGGCCGTGTAGAAAGCAGTAAGAGTATTCATAGTTTTAACTTGGTAAGGCACTTCAGTGCTGAGACCTTAGAGGACTTTCAACCCAAACCATGAAGGGGTTTGGATAATGTTATATTAAAAATTTCCTCTACTTTATAAAGCCGGGCTTCTTAGAAAACCAAGAAGACAGTTAATGATTTCATTAAAAGGGCCTTATCTTTACAGGAGCTTTATGTGCTTGCCTGGTTTTGCYTGAACCAAAATTAACTATGGGATGCAAATGCAAATGTGCAACTTGCAGTTGAGAGTTTGGAGTGTGGGAGCAAGGAAGGAAGGAAAAGACTAATTGGAGAAATATTTTCCACTTCCCTCATAGAAACAAAAATCGGTGCATATGGTGGCCTCTTCTTGGAGTTTGACCCTGTTTCAGGCTTCAAAGTAGAACTTAAAACATTTAAAACTTATTCAGTGCCTGCTAATGAATAATTCTTGGAGTTGCACCATTTATCCAGAAAAGTTTTGAGGTCAAATTCCAATAATACTGGACTGCCTGTCTGGAGTAGCATCCAGTAGGCTCCAGCTTCCAAGCAGGATCAGTGCTTTTTTTTCAAGTTTGTAGGTTGTGCTCTAGGAGCATATCCCTTAGGGGAATTTTCATCATACAGCTGTGATTTTTCACTGAACACAAATCCATGAAGCTAGACCTCATTCATTGAAAAATTCAGGTCTGCTTATGTGACAGCAATAAGCTTCAAGGAAAGCCTCTGAGTAGACTGGGAATTTCATKCTTTTGTGAAATCACTGCCCAGCATAGAAATGAGGAGGCCAACTCTTCTGGAGAAGGTCTTGTGACTTTCAGGGGATGATAAATGCAAGTCGTTCAGTCAGATGGCTTCCATCCCTCTGTTCTGTCAGGCTTTCCCTGTCAAAGTCCAAGAAATGTCCAAGTTTATTTAAAGCTATTACAAGCTTCCAGCTGAAGGGTTTTGCTTTTTAAACCAAGCAGGCTAAAATTGCCTACAGGAAGCTGAAGCGCCTTGGGTGACAAATAGTAAGTGCTTTCAGCAGCAGAATTCAGTGTTTAGTGCCCAGGCATTGCATCGTGCCATATTCTTGTTTTAAAGACTATATTTTGAAGATACTCTATTTTAAAGATATTGTATTTTAAATACAAGGCTCTCCAGGTGTATATTGCAAAGCCATAAGGCAAATTAATACCCCAAGTTCTTCAGGCCTCAATAGCTATTCAGCAGCAAAGATTGCTAGATACGGCCACTGAGGGGGAAAAAGCTTTGGGAGGAAACTCTGACCCTCTATTGCTTGGAGAACTCCTATAGAAAGGCTGGCTTCCACCCAAGAAACTTGAAAGCTCATTTAGATAAGGGAGATATTTTAATGGAATTATTTTTCTTCACAGGAGTCTGTAACAGACTACACTACACCTTCTTCTCATCCTAACACAGTGGCTACTAGCAATGCAAAAATGGAGGAGACTTTGGTGACGAACGTAAGTCTATTGCAGTGATCGCCTTCACTTTGAAGACAAGAAAGTATTTCACGCTTCCTTAGACCACAAAAAACTGCCTTCAGCAAACAAGTCAGTAGGGTTTCCTTTGTGTTAATCAGCTGTGCGCTGTCCAGTAATCTTGCTCTCAGGGACAGGTGGTCCAGTTAGTATTTGTTTCTGAACTCTTACTTTGTCTCGGTTGTTTTGTCTTTCAAAAGCCATGATGAGCAAAAGAGCGTAAGAAGTGTGGGGGAAAAATGTTGCTTGGGGAATTTGAAAGAGCGAAAATAATTATAATTAAGAGAATGGGCCCTCATCTGCAGTCAGGACTTGAACCTGGTGCCAGTAACCAAGGTGTGTGAGCGAGTTTGAAGAAATGCCTTTAAAACCGAAGCAACTCTGAAATCACAGCACATAAAGGGAGCAGCTCACTGCTTTTTGAAAGCAGACAGGAAGGTGTCAGGTGTTCAGCTGTATTCAGGAGCTGATGTTTGCAGGTCCCCAGGGAATGGTCCTGGCTCCGGGTGTGTGTTACGGTGACCAGGAGGAGCAGCTGGGTTGCGACTGGTAGCAGAGGCAAGTCTGCATTGAGCCTGCTGGGTTAGGAGGCTGGGAGCTTGGATCTTGTGATTGCTTTTGGTGCTTGAGCAGTGCAAATATAATCAGCTTGCAGAATTCAGTGGCTTGTCAATGGGGGAGGAAAGAATGGCACATTAGGGTCTCCACRTTTTGTTAAATGGTCTTGTGAATTCGGTGCAAGAAGTGCCTTTCAACTGATTGTGGCATTCTTCAGTGCAGGTTGGAGACAATGTTGGTGGACCCTCTTGTTGTGCTGGATTCTGTGATGTGGTTGTGTTTTATGCTGTTGTGGTCAGTCTGGAAGACTRTATTTTGTGGTGTTAATGATCTTTATGCCTCCTGTGGCACGATGGAGTTGGATTTGTAGCACAGGATAGGGGTTCCTAGCTGCAAATGGGATGTGCTGTCATCTGCTTAAAAGCTTCAGGATCTGGATCTCTTGGATTAGCTTTAGCTCATCCTGTGGAACTCCACTGACGTGGCACTTAAATTGAGAAGAAATGGTCAGAAGGAGCAGGCTGGCCATTAGTGTGTTCTCTGATACGTTTCAGCAGAATTTCTTGGAGATCCATCATCAGTATTTTCTTGGTCAAAGGTAGCAGTAGCGTTTTGTCAAGTTTGCTTTTCCCAAGTTTGGCACTTTTCATCTTTACTGAAAGAAAAAATCACTCTAATTCAGTTGGCAAATTCATTTTGGTGTCATGATCCTGTCTGTGCCTTTGAAGGATTGCAGCTTCCTCCTTCCAGAAACTGCATCTCAGAGCTCGAGAGGTCTCCAAACCCCATGCACTGTCCTGGCACAAAGGGGCCAAACTTGGCTTGAGAAGAATTTTTGTATAAATAAACAATAAACAAAGTAAACAAAAAGGGTATTCTGGAGTAAATCCCAAAGTAGAAATGGTATTTGCTTGCACAGAAGACATTGACACTTTGGAACATGAGTCTTCAGCCTCTTTTAAAGAGGACTTAGAAGCATCCCAGCACTTGCTGAATGACCTTTCCCCACCTACTAAATTTACATCTTCTCTCATCAAAATCTCCCTGCCACATGCTCAAGCTTTGAAGAAATTGTAGCTCATTTAATACCGCTTGAGCTTTGCTTTTCTGGGGCGTTCATAGTAGACGTAGTTAGAATGTGATGTGTGTTGCCTGCCTTTCAGGTGCCCCTGCCCCACACCCTTCCCCTCCCTAGGAGGGAGACTCTACAACAGAGCTCCAGCCTAACTCCAGTTTCTCCCGCTACCGTCGACCTCACCCTCAAGGTATGTACCACATCCCTCTAAGGGTCGTTTTCTTGCATGCAGGGGAAAAAAAAAGTTAATGGAGAACTTGCTGGTGAAACCCTTTTTTAGAGCCTTCCTTTGTTTCCTCTGCTGAACTGCTTTTGCATATAAACGGATGGCTGAAACACAAGACTGTGTCAGAGGATGCGTTTAAAACGTAAATTTCTAACCCCATTTTGCATTAACACCTGGCATCAACCAATCTTGGCTCCCACTTCCCTGAGAGAGGGTCCGAGCATTGCAACCTCATACCGTAGCATTCACGACCACCCATCGGAGTTTGACTGCTCTTTTTGTTTGTTTCTTCCCAAGCGCGTGGCCTAAAGTTGCTTATTTTGGTAGTAAAGGCTGTCAAGTAAACCAAGCCTTGAATTTCCTAGCCGTGAGCTTTTGAGACAGCAGTAGGTGATGTTTAGTTGGATGGTGAAGGCTGGTGGTGCCTTGGTGTTGGCTGTTGTGTTGTGAGGGTTCTGTTTCCCAGTCTGCAGYGTAGGCTCTTCTGGCTGGCATTTACTGGTGTGGATTGTGGATTGTATAACTCACTAACATGGAGTTGGTCTCTTGGCTACTGTATCTTGAGGAGCTCTTGGTCTCTCTTCGCGTCCTAGGGCTGCTTTGTGATTGTGACCGTAGGTGACTGAACTAGTAGAACCGTTGCTGCTGCTTCTAGGACTGAGGGAGAAGGGTGTTTGAACTCGGTTTCACTAAACTGAGTTTCACTGGTAGCAGATGGGACTGAAAGCAGGGTTTGGATGCACAACTAACAGACCTGGAGGAGCTTGTCAATCCCGGTGAGACTTTGGTCTCACTGGCAGGGTTCGACTGCTGCTTGCTCGTGTTCTCTGTGGACTGTAGTTATTAATGATCTCTCGTTGTGCCTTTGCTTTTCTTTTGTTAACACTGTTTTGTTTTGTTTTCCTGAAAGAACGTAACACCACTTTAAAACAGTAGGCATTTGAACTAGCAGAAGGGGGAGAGGGCTGGAGAGGGACAGGTAATTTAACCAAATAACTGGGTTTCTGTTGCCTTCTCCTGTAATGCATTTATCCATAATCTGATTGCCGGGTGTCTGAATGCACTTTCTGGAATAGCAGGCTTTGTTTAATAGCTGGCTATCCGATTAACACGATGCAGGTAGGAATATGACTACAGCTCGATGCTCCAAAGAATGTGACCCTTCTGAGTTCCAGGGCAGGCTGTGTTCCATCCCACAATTTTGGTTTTGGTGGCAGAGACTCCGTTTCTCAGCAGATGATTGATCTTGGRTATGTGATAACCAAGTGAGTAAAAGGGCTACCTCGGAGTATTCTGATCACAATCTGAATAGGAGGGTGTCTAAAAACAGCTTGGTCTTCATCATGTTCTCTGCTCCAGCCCTTGGAATTCCGGCTCCTTTTGGCACAAGCAAGGCAACGTGCTTGTTGGGAAGCACACACACGGACTGTCACAACAGRCATTCTGGCCCAGGCAGAAGAAAGCTGCTCTCTGTCTCGTCCTGCTTGATACAATCCTTGCTTTCCAAAGATACTTTTGGAGCAGCAATGAGCAAAGCATTTTCTTTCCTCCCTTAGAATAAAATTTCCATGCTGCCCCTCCAGAAAGGAATATCATTTTAATAACAAATCCCTTCCCTCCATCCTCTACCTCAAAAAAAWTCTCTTCTGAAAAGACTCAGAGGATTATTGGCCAAGTTACCGGCTAAAACTGCTGTCATTGCTCACCATCATTCCACCAGTGAATAAAGTGCTCAGCTTGGAAGGCTTGAGRTACCCATTTTCCTTGCAGTGATTTCTCTGAAGAGCCCTTTAGAGAAGGATTATTGCTCGCTGGGGATCTAGGCAAAGAAGTCAAAATCCATCTTCAGCTGAACTGTCTGGCATGTTTCTGTTTTCCAGAGTTCAGTCAAAATTGCTCCGTAGACGGCTGAATAATTTGGAAAGGATTCTGACAGTCAGTCTGACTGACTTTCTCATCACTTGATTAAACTTTGGCTTATTTGAGGATATTGACGTGGGTGTTTGTCCCCAGTTAAATTAAAGGTTTGCATGGACCATTAATGCAGCCTGTAGGTCAGTGGGTCAGCAGCAAAGAGCAGCTTTGAAGAATGTCCAGCTCATGCTCTCCTCTTCCCATAACCAGAGGAGTAGCATCACAGACCTTCCCCAGCTTCACTTAACTTGAGCTTCATATTCTCATGGTGTCCCATGGATGCTCCTAGATTAACAGACTCCTGCATCCCTTTTCCAGGTTTAAGAAATCAGAGATCTAAGGGGCTTTCTAAAAGCCAAGCTATCAGACAGCTCAGGACTGTTACGTCGCCTTCACAGCAACTGTGCAGATGTGGGATGACCTGGAGTCTTGGTAGTGTTTAAGTTAGACAWAATTCAGCATGTAGCCTCTAGCTTCTCCAGGACATCAAGAGGCTTAGGGAGTGTGGGATAAGCTTCTCTGCCTTCTCCTTACAGACATTYACGGTGCAGGTACTTGACTTTCTTTTAACCCAGAGCAGCGCAGAGTTGTTACACGTTTCATCAGAAGCCAGAGGTATTCAGAAAGGGGCTTGTGGTCTTAGCTGCAGTCCGACTGAAGTACAGTCCTTTCTAGCAGATCAGTAATAAATCCTGAAGTTTGCCCTGTCTACAAGAATTGCAGCCAATTCRGAGCAAAATGTTGTGATGGGGAAACTGAGCGTGAGTACATGATTACTAGGGAAATAACTCCCATGTTTTAATCTCAATCTGATTTAATCTGTAACCCTGTCACACCTTTCCCCTTTCTCTTCATGCTCTTGGGGAGTACAGAGCTCTAGCTATTCTTCACTAAAGAAGAAACATTAGATTTATCTGTTGCCACTTTATTGTATAGGGCCTTGCCTTTTTTAAAATCTGAAACACCAGGAGCAAATAACCTGCTTTGGTCTGTCAGACAGTGCTCTGCTTGCATAAAAGAGCATTTTAAAGGGTATTTTACAAAGACTGCAAGTTCCAGTTAGGGCACTCTTCATCCTGGCAACCAGGTAAAGATTCTTGGTAAAAATGCACTTGCCTTTCTGCAAGTTACTACTTCTGCTGTTAGTATTGCCAGTAGAAACTGCTCCTTCTACCGGGCAGGGTGCTGCCTGGCCTTCAGAAGTTAATATCCACCAGAGGAAAGATTCGCCTTGCGGCTTCCAGCTCTTCTAACAAAATATTTCCATGGGTMATGGGGATAGCTGAGGCTTGTACAGAAGTCCATGTGCCATGTTGCAGCACTTCAACTAGGGAGTGTAGTTTTAAACATTCATATTTCCTTTCAGTAGCCTCTCAACAGGGTCTCAATTCTAATATCTGTTATTGCAAGTTTATTAAAGCAGTAATCACACTGATACTGGCTGCAGTAGGACAGTCCTTCTTCCCTCTATTGGTGGAGCTGAGAACTACATATAAAAATCTTAAGTTTTTCCTGCTGTGCAAGACTTGAATTCATTATAAAGATAGAGGAGCATGGAGTGTCTTTAGCATTAATATAAAGCAGTATGCACAGGCTATGTCAGCTCATGATCGCTTCTTGAAAGGCAATTGCTTTGGAAATTGAACTTGAAAGAATGATTTATCAAGAGAGTAAGGTGCTACTTTATTTACATGGCTTAATAACTTTGCAGTAAAGGATTTCATGGAAATACTTAGAGCGTTTTTACCTTTCTTTTGCCCCATTCTTTTTGCTCTCTATGTCAAAATCCAGACGAGTTAGCGTGAGCAAATTCTCTTTGGAGTACTGAATGTTAAGATGAACTATGCACGTGTGCAGTTGGGATAGACAAGCTCCAGCATCAGGCTGTATGCTTTTTTTGCATGAAGAGTTGCACGATATTGGTGACTAARGAGGCTCGCATGAAGCCTGAATTGCCCTTTCAACTAAACTTAATCATTGAATTAGGAAGACTGTTTGACTAATTGAAACTGCCTAATAGATAAGAAAAATGTGTTTTCTTTTAAATAGATGGAGTCTGCCCGCAAAGCATGGGAGAATTCCCCCAACATGGGAGAGAAGAGTTCCCCGGTGACCTCTGCAGCATCTCCCATTGCCAGTGGCAACAGCAGCAGCAGCAGCAGCAGCAGCACCGGGCCGAGCAGTGGCACTTACAGCTCTTTCTCTAGTGCATCGATGCCTCCTATTCCTGTGGCCTCAGTTACACCGACTACTTCTCTGTCAGGTACTGCTTGTCAAGGTTATGTTCCTACAGTGCTGTTCTGGAGCTAAGTTTTTCTGTGAGATCAGATTCCTTTTGGAAGAATGTTTAATAAAAAGCTARTGCATTTTGTGCCATTACAAAATGTCAGTTCCGAACGGTTGCTTCCCAGATAGTCTTGTTAACAAGGAGATGCTTCCTGTTGTTTGCTTGGCAGCTGAGAGGGGATATCATGAAGATGTCTCTCTGCCTGTGCTACCTGTGTAGGCTTGAGAGGTGGCATCGTTCTCCTGTTCACTACTGTGCTGATTTCACCTTGTTGGGCTGGATAAAAGCAGACAGGTAGACTTTGAAGAAGCTGGTAGCTCTAATGGCTCCTTGCTTCTAGCAAGTGGCTTCCTATTTCTGTCACTTCATCCAGTTAGCTGCGGTTTTATTTTCATTTGCACTCCTGCTTTGGGAGTCAGGGCGTCCAASAGCTGCTGCCAGGCAGAGTAAGTGTCCGCGTGCTCCTCACAAATAGGGCTGCTTTCCACCATGGTTCTTTGCAGCAAACAAAAGGTGTTGTATCTTGTTACGTCCTCACACCTTGAAATACTAGAATGTGTGAACAAATCCCAGCTGAAGTGCTTGGCAAAGGCCGTTCTTTGGTATAGCCAGGTTGCCCYATCAGAGGCACAACCACCATGCAGTGTGATTTGTTGGATAACTAACCAAAGTGTCAACCTCTGTATTATTTTATATTCTTGTGCTTCAGAAATGTTAGAGTTGCRGCAGTTCCTGTACTGAACTGAACAGAGTTGTTCTCCCTGTCTGTTATGTGTGCATCTTGTAGCATGAGAACAATTACTATAGGTTTCAACATCCTTTCTAGTGACAAATGTTCTTGTATAGCAGACTGAAAACTTAGACCACTGAACGATAAATCTTTGGAATATCTTCAACTGCTTTATGATGCGTGGCTTGCTGTTTTCGCTATAGGAGCTGGAACTTACACAACCTCCTCCCTGAGTACGAAGACTACRAGCACCTCAGACCCACCCAATATATGTAAAGTGAAACCACAGCAGCTGCAGACAAGCAGCCTGGCCTCTGCTGGCCACTTTTCCCAGCTGAGCTGCATGCCATCCCTCATTGCCCAGCAGCAGCAAAGTCCCCAGGTCTACGTGTCTCAGTCTGCAGCAGGTAATAGTGGGTTTGGCTCTGCACTTGTCTCTGTACTTCCCTCTAGTGATCTGGAGCTGGAGAATGGCATTTGGTTTAGGTTTTCTCTGTAGCAAGGGCAGAATAACAGCAAGCATTTCGTAAGCAGATAAGGAGTTGGATCTTATTTAAAACATATAAAATTCTGCCTGTAAGTGTAAAGATTGTGCTGCACTGTTAGCTGTTCACTGAAACAAAAAAAAAGKTTTTATTTCTTGCTATACTCTTTTTTTGGATGCAGAACTAGAAATCTCTGTTAAAGACAAATAATGACTTCAGTCTTGGCCTGTTTCCCCAAAAGAGCTTCAATAGTTTATAGTCATGACATTTTTATTTAGAGRAAACCTTCCATAAATTTGTTTAAATTAATGACAGTATAGCATGTTCTTCCATTTGCTTCACCCAAACCCCAGTTTAGGCCAGAAGCTGTTCCTTCATTGCCCCAAATGTCTTAAGAACTGAGTAGGAGTGAAAATGGATGTGCAGGACTGAGAGATTCTGGGGGGAATTTGAAGAGTCGTCAGTGCTGACCAGGCACTTTGCTCCTCAGTCCTCACTTTAGTTGCCTGGGCTACGTGGTAACGGTGACACTGAGAAGTACCAGCAGTGACTCTGTGTCCAGCTCTTGATGCAAACCTGGCTAGCAGGGTGTCTGGCAGTGAGGTCCTAATTGAATTGCTCTTTCTGTGGTATTGTAGCTCAAATCCCAGCTTTCTACATGGATACAAGTCATCTGTTCAACACCCAGCATGCACGCTTGGCACCGCCTTCCTTGGCACAGCAGCAGGGCTTTCAACCGGGGCTTTCTCAGGTATTTAGATCTTTTTTCCTCACTACCATATTGTTTTTAAAACTCTGTGGATGAGCTAGTGGGGAGAAGTGTGAGGCTAAGGACTCTAAAAATGAAATTGTGCCCATCCTTATTTCATTCCCATGCATGCATTTGCCTCTTGATCCTGTGAACAAAGGCATCTGTGGTAAAAGTTTAACAGAAAAAGCTTTCTCTCATAAATACGTTTAATTTGGTAGGAGRTACATGACCATGTTACTAAAGGCTTGTTTAATTTTTTTAGTAAAAATATGTGAAGTTCTATCCAATCTTGTGCAGCAGTTTTGTACACACAGGTCTAAATGGTTAATACAGGTTTTGCTGTTTAATTGCAGAAGAAGTGTAAAAAATACACAACTGTRTTAGCAGGAGCAGTGTCGGCTGACCATGTAGCCTTGGGATTTCACTTTGTGTGTTCCTGTTATATGTACAACAAAACTTCACACACATTTGCTGCATGGAACTTCAACAAGTTTGAACAGGTGTGGATTTTGTTCGTAGCCCTTGCATAGCTGATGTTTTCTTCTTTATGCAGCCTGCTTCAGTTCAGCAGATCCCCATCCCCATCTATGCACCTCTACAAGGACAGCACCAAGCTCAGCTGAGTTTAGGAGCAGCACCAGCTGTTTCACAAGCCCAGGAGTTGTTCAACTCCTCCTTACAGCCCTATAGGTAAGCAGCATATGTGGATCTATTTGCTTTTTCAGTGGCAGAATTTACAGAGCYTGCTTCCTTACAGACTTACCATATTCTGTATTCAGAAGCAGCCTCACCTTCCTATCTTCCCTGAGGTCAATCTCTCTCATCTGTTTGTACCTTTAGAGAGGGGCTGGTTGAGATCTCTGTGCACTGATTGTCTGGCTATGCTGTGTATGCAGTAGTAGTTGGGACATGATAAGCCTCCAAAGTTACTGAGGGTAGATGAACGCAATATTTGTATCTTTAGAGAAATGGCCTTTAAAAGCTGAAAATAACATCTTTTTTTGTACTAAGGAAATGGGAGAAGCCTTCAGTCTCCCAAAATTCAGTATTTTATGTTCATTATTTTCTATTCAAATAAACAGTGGAGTCTCCTAATATTTCAAAATCATAGCCTGAGCTGCACAGGTAAGACACGGTGGTAGAAACTCTGTCCTGAGCGCCCTGCTAAGCAAYTCTTGTCCTGGATGAATACCCTTTTGCGGGGGGAGTGGAGTGTTCTGCATGTCCAGTTTTATACTTTGTTACACCCATGTGCTTTATGTAGCCCTRATGTTTTCTGTCTGGTGTTACAGCCAATCTTGACTTTTTAAAAGTGTTTGAATGGGTTAACTTTGTGCTTGGCTGACTTTACATCGGAGCATTCATAGCCCCTTGTTGCACAGTTGACATTATTGCAAACAGTTGGCTCGTTACAGATATACAGTTAGTCTGGCATGTGGTCCAGATTAAATACTGCTGGCTGATCTGATAATGAGCAAAAGCCAGTCCGATTTGGGTTGTGCTATTTGAGAGTATGAAGATCTCTCCCACGTTTTAAAAGATGCAGAGGAGAAGCTTTGACATGTGGAAGCTACTGGTCTAAATTTAAAACACTTGAAATATAACTTAGGATTTCATTTTCTATATTAAAGACAATTCTCTACATAATATAGAGTGGTTATGTTAAAACTTAATTTGCAAGTTTACAATAATTTAAAGTACAAAATGTAATCTTTTAGAGAGGTAATTTAAGATGACACAGAATGRGGTTAGACCAAGTGTTCTGTCACACGAGCGCGTGGCCTCGATGCAGAGCAGATGGGCAAAGCCAGAGCTTGTACCTGTCAACCAAGTATTCCATGAAAAATGTGTTTACATCAAAAATGCCCTGTGCTGTCCTCTCAAAGCTCTTCAGCTGAGATACTTTAAAACTGCYGTTGATTCTGTGATCAGAATGTGGCCTTTCAGCTGACTCTTAATGCAAATTTTTGGATAAATATTTCCTGGTGGACTAAAACAACCCCTTTATAAGTATTCTGCTGTACTGTTTTGGTCTTGCTTTTTAAACAAACTGCAGCTTCCCCATGCTGCTGAGATGGCAGTTAAATATCTAGCTAAAACTGGAGCATTTGTCTATCAGTGGTCTGATTTTTTTGAAGTCAAGACATTAATTTTAAAACTACGAATTTTAGCATCCAGTGATTTAACCTGCAAATATTTCAGGTCAGAATATGGAAATACTGGAAATGAACAAAGCAATAATTTTCTATGATTAAGTGGAACTTAGTGTGGAACTATCACATGTGTCTATCCTTACCTTGTAGCCTAAAAACTAACTGAAATTCTCCATATGTTATAATTCAGTTAGAACCATGCAGCGATTACTAAAATATGCACATTTAAATAGCTTTATGTACTTATTTAAATAAAAAGCATAGTCCTTATTCTCATAGGCTTTAGTATTACCTGTTATTTTGCTGCATACAGAGTAAATGGAAAAAGTCTAGATTTTTACAAGAAAATCTGGCCAGTCTAGGCAAGAGTTCTAGTTGTGTTTGAAGAGTGTAACTGCCTTTGTAGTTCTTGGTGGCTCCTTGYTGGACTGTGTGTGTGTGGTATGTAGGTTGTACATATATTGTACATGCCTGCATTACATATGTAATATGTATGAGTCACTCTCTTCACTCTCTTGCAGATCCCAGCAAGCTTTTATGCAGAGTGGGCTGTCTCAGCCATCGCCCGTGGTCCTCTCTGGTACAGCCTTGCACAACTTCCCAGCTGTGCAACACCAGGAGCTGGCCAAGGCCCAGTCGAGCCTGGCCTTTCAACAGACTTCTAATACCCAACCTATTCCTATCTTATACGAGCATCAACTTAGTCAAGCTTCAGGACTGGGAGGCTCTCAGCTTATTGATACACATATTCTGCAGGTAGGAGACATTCTGAAATGCAAACTTACTGCAGTGGTTTGATACAGATAAAGCAATAATAAATAAAGTATTGTCTAGCTTAAGATAAGTCTACCTCTACTATTACATGAAAGTCAAGCTGGCAGGGAACTTGAGACAATCTTTTTATTTCATGCAGATGCATTAGAACAATCTCTGTTTTGAGGATTGTTCTCCCAACTATTTTACAGGAAGCCTTGCATATTTATTGCTAGTTTGATTTCTGTTATGTTAAGCAATAAAGGGATGTTCTGCCACTTGTAAATGAGGGATTTAGGTTTTCAGATTCCTGTGCTACTTTTTTTTCACCTTACTAGTTGAAATAATGTGTCAGGCTGTCTCAGACCTGTTCTTCTCATGCTCCATGTAATGGTGTCTTTCTCATCTCCTAGGCCAGAGCTACACTTACCCAGGCTTCAAATCTGTATTCTGGGCAAGTTCAGCAGCCTGGCCAGAGCAATTTCTATAACACTGCACAGTCTCCCAGTGCTCTCCAGCAGGTAAACTATGGCATGGTAAATTTCCTAAATTGTATTCTTCTTAAAAGCATGTTGTTGTTCTTTGTGTTTGTTACAGTTTAGGTTAGGAGTTGAGACCATCTTTAATTCTATCTTAAATGCAAAAATTGAAAATTGATCACAAGGAAAGCTTTTGTGGCAGCACTGGTGAACTTGAGTTACTGAAAAACTGAGTGGTTTACAMGTTCAGATCAGTTGTTCTCTGGCAAACTTTTCTTAATTAATTCACTTTCTAGTGATAGGTAAAGATTTAATCAACCCAGTAATGTTGCTAATTGGCTCAGGCATACGCTGCCTTTACGGGAGCACATATCAGTGGTGGTGGGGAGGAAGCCAGGCAAACTGCAGATGCTTAATGCAGCCTAATTGGTAAATACCAAGCCCTGGTGGGGTGAAACCTCAGAGCTGCCAAATGTGTGGGTGAGATCAAAAAGAAGCCAGTTTGCTGTGTTCCAGCCTTCTGGCATATTTGCAGCGTGCTTTGTAGTGGCTGCTGTCTTATGGTTCAGATTTCATGGGGGTTTTGAGGTTGGTTGCTTCTGATATTTTTCTGTTTAAGTAGCTTGTTAAATGTTTAAAATGGGCTGTTTTATTGTAATAGGCTGCTCCATAGACATGAAAAGTGGTCAAGACAGGAATCTGGARAAGAGTCTTAAAAATGAGTTTCATGTTGAAATGGAGCATAAAGGTTTTCAGGACCCTGCAGAAGGGCCAGTTTAATGTGTTCAGGGTTGACTGTCTCTACTTTTATGCTTAAGAGCAGAGCCTTGGCTTAGTCTTTCATATTTGGGGAATATCACATCATCCAGTCACCCTCAGAGTATTATTTTGAAGGGTTTGCATTGATGGTCAGACTAGGAAATGCAGGAGCTYTTGCAGATCAGGTCACTGCTATGGTATTTTCACCTCTTTATCACTAGCATTCTGCAGTGTTTTCAGMCCACAGCATTCCCTGTTGATGCAAACAAAGAGCTGTCCACAAGTTGTTTAAGCCAAGAAATGCTGCTGCTTGGCACTTCTGAAGAGGAAAATCTAATTTTCATCCTGAGAAGTACCACATTATGATGAGCACAATTATTGGATGATGATTTCAAAAAAAAAAAAAAAAAAAAGGCCATCTTACTCTGCTTTTATTTCCTAAATAAATTAAATTCACTTCTTCCAACTTGGGAGTCATACTAGATGAAGTTGCAGTTTAGTTTGTTTCTGAAAAGCAGAGACCAGATAGAACTGAAYGTAAAGGTTTAGTGAAGAGTAAATTCAATTATCATTTGCCTGCATCTCTGTGGGTAAACATATGAACTTAGTCAGCCATTTACCCTAATTATGGCTGTTAGTGTAGAGCTAGTAGAGAAAGCTAATTAATCACCCTAGTGTATATGTTGCTGGTGATTCTGTACTTGTGTTTTCCAGGTGACTGTACCTTTACCAGGATCACAGCTTTCTTTGCCCAACTTTGGATCCACAGCCCAGCCACTCATTGCCCTRCCGCAGTCTTTGCAGCCCCCACTACAGCACACACCACCACAAGCACAGGCTCAAAATCTAAGCAGACCTGCACAAGTAACCCAGCCTTTCCGAGGATTAATCCCAGCGGGAACTCAGCACAGCATGATTGCTGCCACTGGGAAGGTAACAATATGCTTAAGTCTGTAGTACAGAAAAACATATGAAGTATTTGGTTCTGTGTTGCCTCGCGGCAGCACCGCAAGCCGTGCTGACTGCTGCATCTAAAAACCTGCCCTGACCTTCACAGGGAGGGAGGGCAAGGTAGAAGGCAGGTGAGTCTCTGGGTGACTAGATTTGTACAATTTGCAGAGGTTTGGCTGTGTTCAGCTGATGGATAACTTGCTACTGCTCCCTTTGCACTTCAGGGCATGTTTGGTTATGCCTTGGTAGACCAAAATTAATAGGATATTTCACCTAGGATGGGTGAAATTTCACCTAGGAAGCAGGGCAGAAACTGATACAGCAGTCWCTGATAGAGCAGCAGACAAACAACACTGGTCTGTCAGGACAGCTTTTTGATTCTGCTTGTGCACAACAGTGTTGTCACTGTGTTTCTTGGCTCGTGCTAGAGAATGTCACCTCAAAAAGAAATGAGGAGATAAGTCGTGATGGGGGGTTTGCCTTCACTGAGGCTGAGGGTGGTTTTGCTTCCCTGTGTTTAAAGATTGTCATGTTTCTGCTAAGGATGGTCAACTTAAAAGAGCAACTTTTAATGAATCTATTATTGTTACTCGTGCTTCATGACTGTATACGGAAAGTTACTGTGCCAGGGACCTAATTACACTGTTCCGTGTGTTTTTGTCAACTCTTAAGGTGAAATGTTGACTGCACTTGTGAGAGAGGACRTGAAAGATTCATTGCTCCATTTAGAGCTTGGAGGTTGACTGACAGCTCCACTTTTGTTCTGTGCTTTGTTTAGTAAGAACTGTCTAATTGGGGATCTTGCCCTAAACCACTTCTTAGGGGCAAAAACGTGGAATGAATCATGTTCTTCCAGAATGATGAAAGGGGATTCATGTTGAAATCCAGTGCTATAACTGGAACTAAGTGCCAGAGTGCAGGAAATTTGTATACAAGTGTGCATATTGCTGGGTTGTCCTAATTATAAGCAGCTGCTTTTCAGTCTAGCTTGCACTCCCCTTGCTTTAAGTGACCTTTATTCATTGAGAAAGATTTGAGGTAAGGTAAGAGTACAGGTTAGCCGATGAAATGAACTTTTCCAAAAACACATGAGAAAAAAACACCTCACCTGCTGTTTTACAGATATCAGAAATGGATCTGAAAGCCTTTGGAAGCGGCATTGAGGTTAAACCTGGCACACCACCGGTTACTGGTAGAAGTACCACTCCAACTTCCAGCCCCTTCCGGTAAGAGTCTTTTAAGCTCAAAAATTCCTTAAAATCAGATCTCCAATCTTGTAACTAACCAGACTTGATCAGCCAGTGATTCTGGAAGGTGTGAGGTGAGGGGTGGCTGATGTAAATACCTGCAGCTTAATCTTAACTCCAAAGCAGTGTGCCAGTAGGTCATGTGTTCTGCTGCTCTTGGCCAAAAGCATAACAAAATGGGAAAGCTTGAATTAAATGGAATTAAACAATGCTAAAAACTACCTGGGATTGTACCATGAAAACACAGAAGTAAGAGTGGTAGGAAATAGGTGCTTGGGGGTGGTGCTGTAGACTGGGTGGAAATTTTTTGTTTTGTGTTTTGTTTTGTCTTTCATTTCATCTTAACTGTCAGTACTTAAAGTACTCCAAACTTTGTGCATCAGAGAGCAGTAATTGTGCTAACAGCTCTGGAAAACTAATATTCAGTGCATGATCTACAAGCTTCGCAAAAATGAAATTAGTAAGTATGCAGGTTTACTGGGTTAATTGGTAAGAATTTTGCTGCTTATCTTTCCGTATCATAAACACACCTGTGTATTAGTAATTGCTGGGGCTGTTTGCCTTTGGTGCCAACAGTAGATCCAGCAGAATACCCAGTGTTGGTTTCTCTCTGAACAGTTTTTTAGCTGAATGTTGAATTTCTAGTTAAGTTGTAACTAAAGGCAGAAACATCCTTCACATGAGTGGTGATTCTAACAGATATATATAAATATATATATATATATATATATGTATGTATGTTTTTTTCTTTAGGGCCAGTTCTACAAGTCCTAACAACCAATCCAATAAAATGAACAGCATTGTTTACCAGAAGCAGTTCCAGTCAGCAGCTGCCGCGGTGCGAATGACGCAGCCGTTTCCTGCACAGTTTGCACCCCAGGTAAGCTGGTTTCCTACTTGCCTACAAACAAATCTCATTCTTTATACCCTGGTGACTCTGCAACTTACCTGTGGTTCTGCACATCTGATTACAGGGAGACAAAGTAACACAATCCTTAAAGAAAATGATGTGTGAAAGAGCACTGGTTTCAAGAATAAGGGGAAAAAAAAAMCCTAAAAGCTTTTATCTAGCTAACTAGTAATGCATGTTTTGTGGTCAAGCTTTTGACAGTTGTGTGCACCAGAGAGTAGTTCAGTGCTAGTTGTGACTGATGCAGAACAGACAGTTCTGCTGGTTTCCCCACACAGCTATAACAGACTTCATCTCTGCATAAGTAAGTCTTTCAGAAGCTTAATATCTCAGAAGGGCCCCAGTGCATGTTTAAGTGTTTAAACATGAAGCACATTCAAAGTTATGTGCTTGAAATGCATGTCAGAAGTATTCGTGGAGTAGTTTGAGTTTAGAAGAGCTCTGGGGAGGTTGAACAGCCCAGCCTGCTGCTCCGGGGCTGCTTCTAGCACTCACGGTTGTAAGTGACTGCAGTCAGGCTGCTAGGGAAATGTAGWTATAGCCCCTGTATAAAAATGTGGGATTTCAGACTTCAGAGATACTGCACTGATTTTTTTTTTTGAGTTATTCTGACATCCTTCTTCCTTGCAGCCAAATAATCCGGCTGTTCAACTTAACCTCTGGAATGGTCTGAAATCCCTGCAAAGGATTCAGGTGTCCCTGTCACTACAGTAAACACGGACTGTTTTTGTACATCAGAGTTTAGGGATTGCAGTTTTGTTTGTTTTTTACTGTTGGTAGTTGGATTTGGAGCTGCTGGCAGCCTGGAGGCAAAGCTTTTGTGGCAAACTTCTGCTTTTTTTTTTTTTCTCTACCTTTTTTTGATAAAATGAATACATTTTATTGAAGAGTGGGTACACAGAGACTTGGTTTGTATGCATAACATCCTTTTTAATTTAAAAAAAAAAGGTATTTGCCAGTGTCAGGCCTGGTGGGGGGGATTTCAGCAGCTTGGCCCCTTAAAGCAGTCCTTGCCTTGGAGCCTCAGTGTGGTCAGCAGAGGTGGTACCTGCTCTGCAGTCCAAACAATAATGATAATAACAACAACAACATTATCAATCTGTTAGAGCAAGGGCTGTGTTTCGCAGGCACCTGTCAAGGTGCCGAGCAGGATGTGGCAGCAGCAGTGCTGGTGAGGGCCGTGTCAATGCAGCACGTCTTGGAATTCTTGGAATTCTGTACGGACTTGCCATTGTGTGCGCCTCAGAGATGCTTCCTGCAGCTTGACACTAGCCTGGATCCGCTTCTGGAGCGAGGGGTGTAAAGAGCGAGGGGGCACGGTGTGAAACTGCAGCTTCTGAGCACCTGGATGCGGTGACAGCYGGGAAGCGACCGGAGCACACGGCTGTTCCGGGGAAGCCTGGCGCTCACCTTGGGAAGCCCCTTAGCTTCCCTGTCCCCGGTAACACTATTTTCTCTTTCCCAAGGCGAAGCAGAGAGCAGAGGTGCTGCAGTCCACACAGAGGTTCTTTTCAGAGCAGCAGCAGCAGCAGCAGAGCAAGCCGCTGGGCGGCAAAGCGCCCAAGGGGGACGAGAACGGCAGCAAAGGCGCCGAGGCCGTCGCCGACCCGGCGGGCGGCTGCGCGGACAAGGCCGAGGAGAAGCCGGCGCCCGCGCCCGCCGCGGCCCCCAAGCCCGTGCGGACGGGACCAATCAAACCTCAGGCAATCAAAACGGAAGAGACGAAATCGTAGGCGCCGSGTTCCCGTGGAGCTGGGGGCAGAGGGGCGGGGGGGGGAGAGACGACGGCAGCGCGGAGCGGGAGCCCGAGGGACACGGGGCGCCAGCCGCCTCTCCCCGCGGCGCTCCGGCCGGCGCACGGGGCCTCGGAGCTGCCCGCGGCTGCGGCGCCGGCTGAGCTCCGGGGCCTGTTCCCGCTCGGGGGGCGCGGGTGCCCGAGGCTCACATCCACACCTGGGAGCTGAGCTGAGCGACAGCCAGCGGGAATTCACCCGACCCGGGCCCTGTTCTTCAGCTGCTATTTATCTTTTTATAAACCCCTGTGTATGAGAATAGGCAGATCTGAAGGCAGTGCTGGGCCGGGTCATGTGTGTTTAAGTTTCCTTTTTTTTGTTTTTTCCTTTTTTTTGTTTTTTTTAGTGATTTAAGAAGCTGCTGTCTTGTAAAAAGAAAATGGGGGGAATTCAGATATTGGGCAAAAAAATTGCCTCTGCCACGTGACATCTAACCCACTATAACACGGAGTAACCTTGATGTTGTCGAATTTCCCTCTGCAGGCAGTGCTTGCTGGCTGCTGCTTCTTGGATGATAATATACTGTATTTAGACCACAATATGGAAATGCTGTTTGGCCACCTGTGTTTTTTATTTTTGAACACCCACTCCCTCGCCTCAGTTGTTCACCCTGGAGTGGAAAGGTTAAGCGCATCGATAGTCAAACTTGTCCTGTTCACCTCTGTCCAGCTACCTTTACACGGAGCGAGTGATCTCGAAACGGTTTCCAGCTTGTGTCTGTATAGAGCAACGAGCACCGGCAGCRGTGCCGCTAGAATAAACGAAACCCTGTCGGATTAAAGCGATTTTTATGGAAAAGGTGCATTCTTTATATCAGAGCTGCGTCGCACCGCCTCCTGGCCCACAGTGTGCTGGCAAGTAGAATCAAGTCAAATAATGCCTTTTTAATTGTATCCTCTAGTATTATAGCTGTAGGACAGTACTGTATGATACTTCTGTGAATGTAAGATATCCTGTACCTGCTTATGATATGTAGTAGTGACTGTGCTATACTGGAGCTGTTTTTAATAATGTTATTCTAGAGGTTTTTTTCCAGACAATGATTGAAAAGCTAATAAAAAGCACCAGGTACCACATCAGTAGCAGAATTTGCTGTTTTTTTCTGGGATTTTGTCCTTTGTTTTTCTTTTTTTTTTTTTACATTTTTGGAAGGAAGAGTGAGTTGGAAGTCTAATGTGTATAATTTTGTTCAAATGACTGCAGAAGCTGGAAAGGCTGTTGCTGCTATTGATGCCTAGTGAATCGCTCTTGGTTATCTTTTTATATAAATATATATATAATTTGAATTTTTGGAAACTTTAGCTGTGATGTCAACTTTGGAAAAAAAAGTATCCCACTTGTAGTGTGAGTTGGCATTGTACAGAAATTAACAGCCATATTGGTCTAGAAATGTTAAACTTAATTTTTTTTTCCATTTGTACAGGGGTAACGCACTGTATTAAATATGTAAGGTCTTATTTACATGGGTTTGATTACAGAAACTAATAAAGTATTCTCTAAATAAAGCATCCGGGTAATCTCATGATTAGCTAAGCGCTGCAGGACGCAAGCGGATGACCGGAATAGCGTGTGCCGAGGGAACAGGATGTGTCCAAGCTGGGAAAAGCAACCCGTGAAGCAGGACGGCGCGCGGAGCGGCTCCTGTGTCTCTCCTCCTCCCCCTGCAGTGAAATCCCGTGGGATGCAGCCTCCCTCCAGCTCTGCAAGGGGCCTGGCAGTGACAGCGCCCTGTTGGTGCGGCGCCCCGGCAGCCCCTGGCTCCGTGATCCTCGTGTGTCCTGGGGCAGATCCGCTTGGAGAGGAGACGTGGACACCCCGGCTGCTTGGGCCACCCGCGACCCCCCGGCAAGGGAGCCTTCCTGCTGCTGCCGCCTCCTCGTCCAGACCCTTCAGTTGCTCCTTCCCCCGTTCAGGGGTGCGGGGACGAAATTAAACAAAAGGCCACGTACCAAACTTGTGACAACGTAGAAAATGCAAATTGCACAGATACAAATATCAGCTTGTTGGGAACGTCCTCAAACCCTGGGCCCAGTGAAGGGTTAGACATCATAAACATCCCTGCGGTCTCAGCTGGCCACGTGAGAGCAGGTGAAGCCTAAGTGAGGAGAGGAAGGAGGTTTGTGCTGTGGCTCGCTGGCCACCAGAGGGTACTCCTGATCTGCAGCAAGGACCCGAACCCCCTTTCCCTCCTTCTGCAAATGCCAAGAAACAATCCCGCCTGAGAAGAGGTGCCGGGTGCACATTTCCAATGAACACAAGTAAACCCAAGAAGGCAACTTGAGCTGGTGTCGTCCTGCTCGTGGTGGCCTCACGGGGGCTTCGAGGAGGACTGTGACCACAGGAACCTGCTCCCAAAAGCTGCCCTAAGCCGAGACCAAAGCCGTGGTGGGACAGAAGGCACCTCCGAGTGGGGAACATCACAGCCCTTCCCACAGGAGCCCCGTGCTGCGCTTAGCGCCTGGAGAGGAGGAGGAGGAAGGTGTGGGACCGAGTGAACCTCTGGGTGCTCTGTAATGTCCTGGCACCGCTGCTGTGAACAGTGAATGAGTTGTGTGTTAGAAACAGGCGCTATCGGGGCTGCTCCGCCAGTGTTGCTGTGACTTGAGCTYTCCGGTTTGGGCCTTGGTGCTGATGCCTCCCTGTTTGCCAGCTCTCCTGCCTCGCTTGATTTGGAAAGGCAMAATCTTCCCTTCAAAACGGAAGGATCAAAAATCCTTCACTGGATTCTTCTGTAATTAATGTTGCCGAGAGGATTAGTTTTAAGATCTATWATAAAGCCACAAGAAGAGTCAGCTGGTTTCCCCAAATCAGCCGTGGGCACGATGCAAAGCTTTTGGCTACTGCCTGCRTTGAGCGAAACAAGGATGTTTCTGCAAAAGTTTAATCAAAAGCAAATGTTTGGGGATGTAGGACGTCTGAATAAAGCCATTTGATGGATGCCCCTCAGATAACCTTGGAGCAGCTCTGGGGTTTTTAAGGCTGGGTTAAGCATCAGGTCAAAGCTGACCCCAGTTCTTCAGAGGTGTGTGGTTTTTTTTTTTTTTTTTTTTTTTTTTTTTTGAATGTTTAACCAGAAAATTTGCTCTTGGTTGTTTACAACGAGGCTGCATCTTGGTTTTGTTTTTGTTTGTTTGAGTGGTATTTGCTGAGTAAGCTCCTTTTGGGGACTGTCCAGTCATGGCAGACAATTAAGACCAGCTCATAAATGAGCGAGCTGCTTTGAGGAATTCCCTAGTTTTGTTGTCAAGCAGAGCCTGTGAAAAGAGCACGGGCGGGAGTGGGATGAATGGGCCTGGGGCCGCATGTGGGAGCCGGCTCAGCGCCGCGGGGCTGCTTTTGGAAAGCCCCTTAGGTAAATCCCTGTATTTAGGGATCACGTCCTGCCTGGCTCCCTGGCAGTGCTGGGCAGGTCGGCCCCTCTGTGTTTATTTTCCCTGGTCAATGAAAGGGGGGACGTCCCGTGTTGCGAAGACCCAAGGGCTGGCAAGGCGCGGGGTGATGGAAAGGACGGTGCCGGCTCCATGTGGCCTTCGTTGTCTCCCCTTGGTGCCCTCTGTGCCGGCGCTGCCACCCACAGGCCCTCCCTGTCCCGGCACCGCTGAGACTGGGGCCTGCACGGCCAGGGGGCCTGGCCCCGGGTTGGGGGCGCCTTCCCTGCCCGCCACAGGCCCTTGCACTGGTTCGGGGGGAGCAGAGCCAGGTCGTAGCCCCAGTCCAGGCGTCCTTCCCCCCTGCCCAGGGCCTGAGGCCCCCCCAAGGGCCGCAGAGCGGGTGGCGATGGCATTTGCAGAGGCTGGCAGAGCCCGGCTGGTCTCAGCTTTATTGTAGCGCCCGCTGAGCCGCCGCTCAGCAGAGGCCGCGGTCGGCGTGGGCGTAGAGCGCCCAGCAGGCRGGCGCGGGCGGCGCGGGGCTGCGGTCCACGGCGGGGCCGCCCGCGGGCGCCGCCTCGTACACGAGCAGCAGCGGCGGGAAGGGCTGCGGGCCGAGCGCGCGGGCCAGCGCGCAGGCCCCGCTGCGCTGCAGCGCGTACAGGTGGCAGCCCCGCGGCGCCGCCAAGGAGCCGCCGCCGCCCGGCACCCCCCGCGAGAAGGCGGCGCAGCTGGCCGAGAGCGGCGGGATGGGGCTGCGGTCCACGAGCGCCAGGGCC